GGCTTTCTCTGAGGTGGCGCCCCACCTATGGAATGCACTCCCCAGAGAGGTCCGTCTGGCGCCGTTGTTATTTGTTTTTCGGCGCCAGGCTAAGACCTTTTTATTTAAAACTTATTTTAAGTGTTAATTGATTATGTAGGATTTAAAAAAAAATTTAAGCCAAGATGCACCAGGTTTTAATATTTTTAGTGTATAATTTTTGTATGATTTTGTTTGTTTTTGTTTTTGTTGTGAGCCGCCCCGAGGCTTTGTTGCGATGGGGGCGGCATAGAAATGTTTTAAATAAATAAATAAATAAATAAATAAATAAATAAATAAATAAATAAATAAATAAATTGCTGTGCTAAAATAGAAGCTCACCATACTGCTTGGCAAACTTGGATGAGAATTCAGGGATATTCTAGACGTTCATAAAGTAGCAGAGAAATACATGGCTAGTAGTGCTAGTGTTTGGGCACATGCTTATCTACCATGCAACTTATAAAGCAGTTTCCCTTTGTCTTTCAACAGACATCCCCCCCAATTCCATACTGGAATATCTTAATGGCTAAGGAAATGGACTATGAATCCCGAATTCCCTGGTGTGCTTCACAGCTCCATGTGCTCCCTAGATAGTGTTAGACAAGCAATTTTATCATCCTTGAACCTCCATCTGCAACTTATGAAAATAGTCACCACTACCACCCCTATCTTACAGGGTTATTGGGAGGCAAGGAGGGAAAACTGATGGCACTCCACATGTTTGGTCTAGAGCTGCCATAATCCTTCACCACTGGATATGATAGCTAGGGCTAATCATAGTTGTAGGCCACAACACCAGTTTTGGAGAGTCCCAAGTTGCCTGTCCTTGGTGTAAAGGGCTTCATGGGTATGTGAAGGGGTGTGCTTTGAATTCTTCAAAGAAATAAACAACATCTAAGTATTATAATTGTTATCTTCAGGGAGACCTTCAAGGGTGAGCACCATGGAGCCAAGTCATGTTGATACCATTTAAGATCTCCTTTTTGAGTTGCCACTGCCCACAAATAAGAAACCAAGGCCAGAAAGAAAGTATAACAAGAGTAGATTAAGAAAGGTAGCGTATGTGATGACAGGGCAGAGATTTGACCCCAAAACTTGTATGAATCTGCTTGAACAGAGTTTATGCTGGTAATGAAGAAGGATTTCTGTTTATCACATTAGGCTTTCTACTGCCTTCTCATTAGATCTGCCCCAGTACATCTTTAAGTTTCTACATTCTGTCCAGTCAGGGTGAAAACTGGAAGGTTAGATCTTCAGTTTTTGTCCATGTGTGTGGAAAGAAAAGATACACATTTCCTTCAAGGAAGTGATGTCAATATAGGAAAGACATCTTGTGTGATGGTGTCTGTTTTCAATCTCCATTTTCACTCATGCTTAAAATGCCTGATAGTTTTGCTAGAGACTTTTCCCTACTGCTAATGAAATGTATTTGCATGGCTCAATGGGCAAAATGGCAACATTCTGCTCCAAATGTACACATATTCAGTGTGAAATAAGCATGGTCATAAATAAAATTAATACTTAGACAATGCCAAGTACATAATTGTTTTTAAATGTGCTGAGATCTCATTAGAAACTGTTGCATTTTTCTTGCGCATGTTTTTTGCTGTTCACATTTTGAACTGCTGTGCATCAAAAACTCCAGCTATATGCTATTCTGCTGATATTAAAAAATGTAACATTCCTTGATTATTAATTTTGTTTTTCTGTCTTCTCCATTGTTATAAAATTCCTGTTAATTAACAGTCTGCTACTGTGACTTGATCCTGCAAGAGCCTACACTCTCAAGCTTGATTTAATGAATCAGTTTAGGTGCTATGTATTAAGTATTAACTTGTATGGCAATCCTGTCCAAGTCTAGTCCCAGATCAGTGGTCCTGGGGGACTTCAGCATTCATGCTGAGGATACCATATCTGGGACAGCTCAGGATTTCATGGTCACCATGAGAACCATGGGACTGTCCCAATATTTTATTGGCCCAGTGCATGTGGCACAACATACTCTAGATGTGGGCTTCTTGGCTGGATGGTGCTGTGAGCGTGGGGGACTTTGACTCAGTCCCTTTGTCATGGTCAGATCACTGCCCGCTGAGATTTAGACTTCTTCCCTCTGCAAGGGTGGAGAGCCCATTAAAATGATCTGCCCCTGGAGGCTAATGGATCTGGATGGTTTCCAGAGGACTCTGGGAATTTTTCCGTCTGACAAGGCTGGCGCTCCTGTCAAAGCCCTGGTCACTCTGTGGAATGCAGAAATTACTTGGGTGGTTGACATGATCACTCCTAAATGCCCTCTCTTTTGTAGAGCTCATTCAGGTCCATGGTATATCCCAGAGCTGAAAGAGATGAAATAACTTAGGAGATGGCTGAAGCGCAGATGGAAGAGAACTCACTGATAATGCAACAGAAACCTGGTGTTTGCCTACAGTCATTATAGTTTGAGGCAGTGAGGGTGGCAAAGAAACAATACCTCACGACCTTTATCCAATCCTCTGTTTGACACTCAGTGGAGCTTTTCAAGGTTGTTCAGGGCTTATTACACTCTGGCCCCGGGGACACCTTGGAACCATCTCTGGCCTATTGTAATCTACTGGCTGGGCACTTCCAGGAAATATCTGTTGTATCCAGCAGGACTTGGACTCCAGAGTTATAGCAGTTGAATTGGTGGCGATATTCAAACCACAGTTCGGTCCAGTTTCATTGGATGAGTTTCAGTTGGTACAGCTCAAGAATATGGCCAAGGTTTTGGACGGGTTCATGCAACCACCTCCTTGCCCCTTCTGGCTGATAAAAGCCAGCAAGGAAGTAATAAATGACTGTATGAGGTAGATCATTAATGCCTCTTTGTGGCATCCTATGCTGCCTTAAAAAGGTGGTGGTAAGAGTGCTTCTCAAGAAACTCTTCCTTGACTGAGGAAATTTGAACTGCAGACCAGTAGCAAATATTGTTTTCCTGAGCAAGGTTCTTGAGAACATGGTTACCAGTCAACTCCAGACACTCTTGCATGAAACTGATTATCTCAAGTAGGGATCAGGCCTGGTTTTAGCATGGAAACAGCCTTGGTCATCCTGTATGATGAGAGTGAGACAGGGAATGAGACCTTGTTGATACTGCTGGACATCTCAGCGGCTTTCAATACCAACAAATCCTTCTGGAGTGGCTGACTGAGCTGGGAGTGGGAGACACTGTGTTGCAATAGTTCTGCTCCTACTTAGAGGGCTGTCTCCAGAAGGTGGTGCTTGGGGAATATTGTCCAGTCCCCCTGGATTCTCCAGCATGGAATTCCTCAGGGGTCTGTTCTGTCCTCCATGCTATTCAACATCTACATGAAACTGCTGAGTGTGGTCATCTGGAGTTTTGGAGTGCATTGCCATCAGTATACTGATGACATGCAACTCTATTTCTCCTTTTCATCATCTGCAGGTGAAGCTGTGGATGTGCTAAACCAGTGTCTGGCTACAATAATGGACTGGGTGGGCTAACAAACTGAAACTCAGCCCAGATGAGACTGTGATGCTATTGGTGAGTGATTCTTTTGACCAGATGGGGGTTTTCAGCTTGTTCTAGATGGGGTTGCACTCCCTCTGAATGAGCAGATCCATAACTTGGAGGTGCTCCTTGATCCATTTTTGTCATTTGAGGCTTGAATGGCATTGGTGGCTTGAAGTGTACTTTACCCGTTTCAGCAGGTGGTGCAGCTTTATCCCTACTGGACAGGAATAGACTCACTTCAGTGATCTGTGCCCTGGTAATCTCTAAATAAGATTACTGCAACACACTCTATGTGGGGCTGTCCTTGAAGATGGTTCAGAAGCTGGTGCAGAATGTGGGAGCCACATTAATAACTGGGACTCATAAGCCTGAACATATAAGACCAGTTCTGGCCCACATGCATTGATTGTCAATCCCTCAACAGGCTCAAAGGGTGACAACTAGGAGGAGGACCTTTTTGGTGGTGGTCTCCCATCTTTGGAACAACCTCCTTGCTGTGGCCTACCTGATGCCCAATTTGCCATCTTTTCGGTCTCAGTTTAAAACAGCCCTTTTTTCAGAAGCCTTTAAAGTCCTCCCTGGTCATTTCAGGAACACAATTATTCAGGTGCCTTTCTTAAATTCATGGCTAGGTCTTTTAATTATCCTTTAATGTTTTTATGCTATTTTAGATTCATTTTTAATTCTTGTTAATGCATCTATTGTGTTTTATTGTTTTTATACCATATTGTAAACCACCCAGAGAGCTTTGGCGACAGGTAGTATAGAAATGAAATAAATAATAGATGAGGAGGAGGAGGAGGAGCAGTTCCTTTAAGGCCCACCAGTGCAGCCTTTTTTGGCAGTGGGGAAGAACTCTCAAAACTAGCACAGATGTAATATTAAGTAGTATGAAAGGATTGGATGATCCTCTTTCTTCCATTTTCCCTCTGCCTAGGTTCAATGTTCTGTCTGACTGGCCAGCCCTGATTAAACCCATAGATGTGTCATAAGCTCAGAGAGGGGACATGTGATCTTCTGGTCCTGTTCTCTATACTCTACGTTGTTAGGCTTGACTGGCCTGAGTGTTATTGCTGCTGTAACAAACTTTTCAGAAAGTTTACATTTGTACAACCATTCATTCTAAATGAAAACTCTAAATTTTTATGAATTATTACATTTTTATCTCTACCATCTGTTTGTGTCAATGATTGTGGTATTGAAGTGAAACACAGTTATCTGTACTAAGTTGTATATGTATTTTTAAAGAAGTTTTGCAAACTTCCATATGCTATTTATGGTGAGGATGATCATGCATTTAGTACCATACCAGTTTGGGATATATAGCAGCTAGATAAGCTGCTGCACATATTTCTTTCTCTCAATTTGTCTCTAATAGATATGTCTATGCATTTCAGAAAGTAGACATTTTCATAGTCTTCTGAATGTGGTAATATGTATCATTACCATTTTTGCTAATTTACAGTGATAACTGTGTCTCTGTTTTCAGTAGGAGATGAAAGCCGGGAAATTAAGAAACAAATTACAGGGATGAGAAGATTATTGAATGACAGCACTGGAAGAATATATCAACGAGTTGGCAAAGAAGGGGAAAAACTGAAGGAAGAACCCCAGGATTTAGATTTGGCCTGGGATCAGCGTCTGAATCCTCCTGCAGAAACCCAAACAAATCTCCATCCATCTCAGAGTGGTACTTGGAATGAATTATCTCCTCAAAGTAGCCACTATTCAGGGCAATATGGAACACGGTCCAAAACTTTCCAGAATCAAGCAAGAGCTATAAGTTCAAATGGTATGACCTACATATTTAAAGGGTTTTTTTTCGGGGGGAGGTATTCTTTAAAACTGTACTTGATTTGGGGACTAACAAGACTAAGGGTACATGAAAAATTACTCACAAATTCCAAAGAAATTGTGTACTTGACCCTGTGAAAAATCTGAAAGTTTGGAAACAAAGCTTACTTGGATTTTAAGGCACACTGAAAATGTATTTTATTTAAGGCTACAAACTTTAAATGGCTTAATTGATCATTCAACTAAAGCTTTTATCAATGAGTGATCAACTTGCCCGCACTAATACACAAACAACAGGAACTTGTGTCTCATCTGAAAAAGAATAGGGGCATTCCACACTCCTGTCTGCCTTGCCCATGTTAGAGTTCTGTTCTTTTGTCACTCAGTGAACTAGAGAAAAATCCATCATAATCCCAAGAGGCTACACATGTGCTCCTTTTCTGAGTGGCACACTCTCATACCTGGCATATACTTAACTTTCCAACAAGAAAGTACCACCACTGATTTAGCAAGGCTATTTTGGTTCTGTAGTATTTCCCTTCTGTAGCTGTAGTATTTCCCTTCCATTCCTTATCACATATGGCTTTTCTTTTATTTGGTCAGTTTGTACTTAATTCATCTCACATTTCTGTATATTTAAGAAAGCAACTCTCTTAGCCTTAATGTTTTTCTTGGTAAACAGAACAGTAGATAGAAATGGTAAACTTGCACCCACAAAATATTCATTACAAAATGAATTGAATCTGGCCCAGTTAGGAATAATTATTATCCATGCAATTCCTGTTACATATCATAAAATTATGAATTGCATGAATTTTACTAATAAATTCAAAATTATTCCTATTGTTCTTATTACTGTACTGAAGGGAAGAAGATACTTAGGCCAGTTTGCACATAGTGACAGCCCATGAGTTAGATGACTCATGAGCTCCTTGGGAGAAAGAAGAGGGAGAGGAAGCCCACTACTTTCATCTTTTCTCAGCAACTGATTAGTGGCTCCTTCATAGGTTGCTGAGTGCAATGTGCAAACCCACTGGGTTAGTTAAGGGGCTAAGCAACCCAGAAGTCAACTGTAGAACAAACAGCGGTTTAAGCATTGAGGTTTTTTAGCTCCTAAACAGCTAGCAGTCTGGGTGTACATCACACTTAACTACATACAAAGGAACTGCTTGTGGATTAATTGGTAAAAGCAAAAGTGGTGGGCTCTTAACCCATGAGCTATCATTGCATGCAAACCAGGTCACTGTCTCTTTGCTGGGATTTTGGCACTTTGTCCTTTAGTTTGGCATAGACCTTGATTGGGAGCAGGAAAGATAGCACTGCAATAAGCCACAGCATTTTTTGTAGTGATATTACAGGTTTTTTGCTTTGAAATATGAAAAGGCAGTAATATGTTTTTAGGCATATTATTGCTTCACTAATGTTGTAGAAGAGGTGAGAACAGAAAAGAGTGCTTGTTGTGTGGAATCAGACAACAAGCACTGCAAAGTATAGTAGGAGCTTCACCTTTTAGCCTTTAGCCAAAGAAGTGTCTTACACCAGCAAGGTTACCTTCTTCCAGCACAGCAATGTCCCACCATTCCATAAGTCAGTGTCTTCTGGAAACGATGTGCTGCCTTTTTAAATCACTGGAGTACATATTTACCCCGACAAAGAACTGTTCAGCTATTTAACAACATTCCTCTCCTCCTATAAAGAAGTAAATGTTGGTGGGAAGATGATGTAGAAGGTGGGCAGTTGCCTCTGTATTGGGATTTGAGGAGCATGATTTGTTGCACAAAGGATAAAATGCGATTGAGGCACACATTGACTGGTTTGTAACACAAAAACCCACAGTCAAAGATTAGTATGGGCTGGAATTGAAGCAGGAGTTATGTTATGTGAAGCCAGCCATTCTAACAAACCATGGCTGTTACTATTGAAAATCCATGAAGAGAAGCCATGATTTGCTTTTAGATCGTGAACTATGGGTTGTTCATGATTGATAAACCATGGGTTATTTGCACGGTTGTTTCACATAATGCAACAGCCTACAGTTCAAGCAACTCCCCTCCCCCATCAATCTATATTCAACCCACACTTAAGCCATATTCAGCCTTGAGTATGAGTATTATTGTATGAATCATGGCAATAACTGGCTGAGCCTTGTTTCTGGGTAGACATTTTCAGTGTGATAGAGACAATACAGGAATACAAATGAAACAAAAATACACTGTGGTGCAAGAAAACAGTGTAAATACATATTAATTCTAGCACTTAAATACTGAAATACTTACAATTATTGAATTGAATTTATACCCTGCCTTTCTTCCTTTTGCAAGGAACCTAGGGTGGCTTATAAGATTCTCCTCTCCATTTAATCTTCACAGTATCAACCCTGTGAGGTAGGCTAGACAGAGAGTCAATAGCTAGCCCAAAGTTACCCAGTGAGCTTCATGGTTGAATGAGGATTAGAACTCAGATCTCCTGAGTCCCAGTTCAACATTCTAACTACTGTACCACATTGGCTGTCATATAGAATTTACATAGCACTTAAGAATATTCTAAGCATTCCACATACATTGTTTCATGGCAGTTCTTTCATCTCCCTATAAAGCTAGTTAGATAAAGATCAGTCCCATCAGTATGCCAGCTGAAATCAACTCCTGAGTTGCACTGATGTGCCACTGATTCTTCTGTGGTTCTAACATCTGCATTAGAATGTATTCCGTTTATATTGCATTTTATGTAAAGGTTGATTCTCTTTAAGGTGAAGCCATCTTGCCTTCTTTCTGTGCCTGGCTCAAATTCTTATGAGACCAACACAGTACTTTAGTGTGGGATACGTGCCAGTCTTACGCAGAAAATAGTGATTGCTTCTTGGGGCTGTTAAACCAAGCCTTAGAAAAACATTGTTCCATAAAGTAAATAACTGCACTCTATTATATGGGATTTTTGGTTTCTTTTCTGTGATCAAAGCAACGCTCTCCATATGCCCTGTCCCTTATACTGAGTTTCTCTTCATAGAAGACAAGTGGGCTTTTAGTTTATGCTCAGTGGCAGGAATGTGGTGAACTGTACAGCCATCCAGATTTGTTGGCTTGTTTGACTTCTGCCCTTCCTTTCTACCAAAAAAATAACACTCATGGCTAGTGCCTTTGTTAACTACAAAAGGCATAGAACCATGTACTGAAGCCATTTCACGCAAGCAAATTTACCCTTCTTCCTTGTATACAAATAAGTAAATAGCTGACAGATTTGCCGCAAAAAGCAGCTTCAAAACACTTCTGCTTTCCCATACCTCCTGATAGAACCAGCCCCTAGTTTCATTAATTTCAGTATTTAGATAATCTATATCACAGACACAGATACTAAACTGTTTTTGTTGTTAGTCAGAGAAGCTGGTGGCCTCACATTGCGTTGCGTTGCATTTATTTTCTGTTTCTAAAGATTTCAGTAATCTTCATGATTTTCCATATGTTAATATTTGGATTAAAACTGTAACACTCATATAATGCCATCAGAAAATCAACTATAGAGAGAAAATATAGCTTTAATATATGTGTGTGTATATTAATGCTTCTACTGTTCAGTTGCTTTGCAAGCCAATCTAATTCATGTTGGCTTGCTTTCATAATGAGAAGGGAGATGCAAAGCAAGAGGTGGCTTTTAAGAACTCCTCAATACAAGTTGTCTCTTAAATTAAAAGTGTAAATTAAGCATAATTTATTGTAGCTCTATTTTTAAAAAGTAGATGAGTATTGCTTTTGTTCCTTCAAATGATAAGGTGATGCTTCAAACATTGAGTAAGAACATTTTGTGATGTCGCCTGCTCCTCTGTTACTGATCCCAGGAAAGGTGATACATTTTTTGTTTTGTTTTTTAATGTTCATAAATATGTATACAGTTATCAGAGCCCTGCTTTGGTTTGAAATATTGGTGGTGTCTTTTTTCCATTTACTGTATACAAGATAGATTTACATGGGTAATTTCTATCAATGTTAATGGGAATTGTAGCGTAAATCCCCTATGCCTCAGTAGGAAAACAGACCCTTTGGTTTTCAATTGGGAGGCTTCAGTACCTGCACCTCATTAGCAATGCATTATGTTTGTAGCAGAAAAGATGGGCAGGAATTTATTCCAGTATTTGCTTTGTCAAAATTGTATCATAATATTCACTGGAATATTAAAAAGTAGAAAGGGGAAAGAACAAATTCATAAAATATTATTTATTTGCTGGCTTAGTTTAGTTCAAGGCAGAAAGCACAGCCTTGCCCTATTTGAAAAATATTCTTATTAAAAGTGAAGTAAGCAAAATAGGATGAAGAATAAGGCAGATTTTTAAGGATATTGTATTTTGCAATCTCAGTAGCTTTGGTTTTATACTCGCTAGCCTATACACCTTGTGGCATAGGCTATACACTGAATGAGAAAAAAATCTTAGAATGAAATGGAAGCAAATTCTGAGCAAGCTGCACTGAAATTAATAGCTCTTGTCTGTCTATTTTACACACTGAAAAGGGTCAAAGAAGATGAATTATTTTTGTTCCTTTTTAATGTATAAAATAAGATGAAAATAACTAGAACATGCTCATAGAAGACCTGCTGAGGTTTTGTTATTATCTTGAATTTCTCTTTGACAGTCCACATGCTTTATCTCCATGCTTTAGCACAGGGATGGGCAATTTTGGAAGGCCTAATCACCCATAGGCTGCATCTTCTCTTGTATAGCAAGGCTTTTTCAGTAGCAGAGCTTCAGAACCACTGGAACTTCCTTTCAGTAATGCCCTCTTAGCCTTATCTTTGTATTCTTTAATGTACTTTCTTAAAATGTGGCAATTTATGTAAGTTTTTCTTGATATCTCTGTGGCTAGTTAGCAGCTTTCCTGATAGAATATATTTGTATGCTATGAGCATTGTTTGCTATATTCTGCAACACTTTAGAAAAATGGGAAAACATTTACCATAATTGTAGTAGTAGCAAGGAAACAGGGCATGAAGGACTTAAGTCAAGTCCAGCCTTCTAAGGGATGCACGTTCAGCTGTTCATTTGCTTATCTGGAGATGTATGAAGGAGTGGTGGTGATGGGAACAGGACTTGATGCAGAGTATTGGGGAAGAAAGTTTATCTCTTCCTAAGTGTAAGCGTCCAGAAAACTAGATGCTGTCCAGGGTCTAGAACAGCAATGGGTAACTCGTCACCTTCTAGACGTTCCTATCTTCTGGAACTCTCATTGCCATTGTCTGTACTGAAGTTACTTGTAGGTCAAAATATCTAGAGGGCCACAAGTCATCCACCCTGGCTTTAGGACATATCTGTCAGAATCTTCTGATAGATGTATGAGTAATTTGTAGTAAATCAGAAAGGATTTCTGACTCCAGATTGTTTAACAGTAATAGCAATAGTTTGGGCTCCCCTCCCTAACCCCTAACTTAAATTACTTAAATGAAGAAAACTTAGCATAACAAGGATTTTGTGAGGAATAAATGTGAACACCATTAATTTCTAGTATTTGAAACAAATGTTTAGACTCAGAACTATTTAAGTGTAAGTGTGTCTTAGAGTTCAATAGTGTGTCATAAAAGGAAAACTATTTATTTATTTATTAAATTTATAACCCACCCATTAGCCAAGATGATTCTGGGCTGTTGAGGTTCAGAGACCAGTAGCTTACACAAAAAACTTTGCTTGGGTGTTAGCAAAATAGTTTGTTTACAAAAGATAAATTAAAGCAAACTGCATCCCCCCCCCAAATAAACACACATAGAATCCAGAAAAAACACCCCTAGTAGATTACCTGGTTTGTGCATCATGTTCAGCACCCTATGAAATGCATTTATTTAGGTTACATAAATATATATATTCATGTGTCCACTTATAGCTCATAATATGCATAAATGTTTACTGAAAAGAAATAACTTCTCATAGTATATATAAGAGTAGATCTTATTTATGTTACCTTTCCATACCAGGATTCCAGGTCTGTACATGCAAGGACATGGCATTGCTTTCAGTGATATGTTTTGCATGCCATGTTAAGGGTGGTTTTTTTGTTTTTTGTTTCTTTTCACAAAGAAGCCACTCTGAGAACCTGTAGCTAATATTAGTGCTGTTTAGGATGGCTTGTTGCGATGTCCAGAGTAACTTCAGCCTGGGTTCTTTAAAACATGGAGAAAGCCCATGTTACTGGTTGCTCATCACGTTCTCTCTAGTTCTAACGTCCATCCTATTCCTCTGTTGTCAGTGTACACCCCTTCATCCAATTGGCAATGTCCCTGTTGCAATGTCCCTTTTCAAAACAAACAAAAATGGCCCTTCAAATTTGTTCACATACGTTTGTGTTTTTTATTTATTCCTTTGAGTCTGCACAAGTATGCATAGTTGGAGGGCCATGTCAAGGTAAATTTTCCTTTTTAACCCATATGCTTCATTGATTCTTAATTTGCAAAGCAGGGGTAAACTCCACATACTCCTACAGTAATGACACCTGCAGCCGAAACTTCTTCCTCATTGAGCTGCCCCTTTTTGAATTGATTGTCAAGGCAAGTGCCAAAGTGGAGGAGGAATTTGGCAGCCAGCATTGCAAGATGTTATAGGAGGGGGTTGGCAAGTGGCACTTATAGACATGCAGAATGCATATAGGTGTGATTGCATACTGTACTAGCTGCTATCATACACATCCAGCTTAAGAATGGAAATTGAGGTCTTGCAAATGTGCACACTTGCAAGGGACTAAAGAGGGCAAAAATACCTATTTGCACAAATTAGAAGAACTAAGAGAAAAATATTGCTCCCATTTATGCAGATTAGAATGACAAGGAAAAAAAGTGTTGTTACTTTATGGTAATAATTGAGGACAGAAGGGAATTTCTTTCCATAGGGCAAAGGAAGCTCTGAAATTTTATACCTTTTAGTTCTGAGAACTATGCAGAGATTGGATGGAGCAGAACTCCTGGCTGATAGGAATATGAGGACCTGGGAATGATTGTGCTGCAAGGGCAGGTGGAACGGGCAGAGGAAAAGAAGCCATACAAGGCTGCCATGCAGCTAATCATTTGTTGGAATTACCATGCATTGTTCAGCAAACAAGCAATCCACAGTGGCTTGTTCTCAGGGTGATGTCTGTGTTGTCACTGCTTCCCCCCACCCCCACCCCCACCCCCACCACACTGCAGGCTTCCAAGGCAGCAGGATTCTATATAAACCAATTGCTGGCTGCCTGGGTTTCCAACCGGCCAGCATACTTCTTTTCTTCTCTAGAGAAAGCTTGGGCTCCCCATGGGGATCCAGAAATCTGTTGTAGAAGGGAAGGGAAGAAAGAGGGTAGCAGTGTGGTTTAGTAGTTAAGAATGTAGAGTTAGGGATTCAGGTGATTTGGGTCCCCACTTGTTGATTGAGCTCACCAGGTGACTTTGCCCCAGTCAAACTCACCCAGCCTACATCACAGGGTTCTTGTTGTGAGGATAAGGTTGAGAGGAGGAGGAGGAGAATTAGGTAAGCCACCCTGAGTTCCTTAAAGGAAACAAGGCAGGATATGAATATAATAAACAAACAGCTACTTTCTACCTGCCCAGGGTAAAAAGGGGATGTTATCTTTGGAGTAGGGGGCTCTGTGGTACTTGGATGCCTGCTGTGGTGTCTGTGGGTGCTGTCTTGTTGATCCCTGGGGTATGTAATGCCCTCCTTCGAGCAACACTGGAAATACTTGCTAAAGAAAACAATTACATTACTTTAAGTTTTTACCTGTTGCCATTGATACTTCTTAGTATTATTACTATTAATTAGTATTAGTATTATTACTGAAATAAAATCCAGGCATCGATAATTTAGCACTTTACTAGTTTTACTTTTGATATGGCCTCAGTTTTGTGTTCCCACATAATGCATTCTTGGCAGAGTAAAGGTAGTGTATTTTATCTTCTTACAGTCATGCCAGATGTACACTTTAGTGTTGGAGAGTAATAGAGACATTTGAAGGAGATATATAAATATACACGCACAGAGAAAAGAGTACAAAATGGCAAAACATTGCAGCATGATGAGCATGCTAATATCACTATTGGTGCTTTGTTATAGAGCTACAGCACTCCAGGAAGGTGAGAGAGCAATATTTGCTTAGGTACTGCCCAGTAGATGCTCACAAGGAAACTTAGACAGTCACACAGTATTCCATTTGACAATAAACATGTTAGCTACCTTTTTCGATGGACAAAACTGTCCCATTTTGAGTATCAATAGTATGAGATTCCCATCACAAAAGTGCTTCTTTGGAGAGCTGAGTAATGACTGTAGGTAAGGAAAAGAAGCCCACCCCATAATTAACTGTACCAGATGCCAATTCTGTCTTGTCCAAACTTGGTAAGATGGACTGTAGGAGTGGGTTCTGGACCACACTGCAACTCATGGCCTGTTCTAGGATTCCAGTTAGGTTTTGAAGCCACCCCTGCTGAACATCTACACCAGGTTTGGACAATATGACAACCCAAGCCTCTTGCAGGCACTTATGGAAATTACCTGCAGTCTGCACATGCAGAATTAGGAAAGACGACAACCATAGATTCATTTCCTTCATCAGTTGTGCAAACCAAGTCATTGTAAAGCAACACTCAGCATTCAATCCATTATAGACTCATTAGGTCTTTATTAAATAGATTCTGTTAAGCAGTCATCTAATTCTTTGAAGCGTATTGTCACACAGAGGAAAGGTTTTTTCTCTGAATTTTTTTGTGCATGATAATGTGTCTCTTCACCATAATGAGATCTGAAGCCATTGTTTCCCAAGCTGAACTAGCTTGACATTAAGGAACCTGCCATGAGCCTATATCACATATGGGCAACCCATAGGCAGCACTCTTGACTGTTTGCTGTGCAGCCTGCAGAGCCTTCGTGTTTCGCCACATCTGCTGCCACCCAATAAATCAGCTATCACATGGGCAATAAGGAAACTGTGGTGCTATTGGGAGTGGGAAATAGCTACCTAGAGCAGGATTGCTGGGGGCAGGAGTTAACCTCCACGTTATAAGAATGCAAAGATGCTTTTAGCATGAAGGAAACAGCAGTCTGGATCAGGATTGCTGGGGGGAGAAAAGGCTTTCATCTCCTCTCCTCCAGCCATTGCATGCCTAAGTCTGCCATGCCTAATTGGGAGAAGATGGGAGATTTAAATATCCCTATCCCTGTGTGCTGAATTGTGGTGAGAAAAGTGTGTGTGTGTGCAGCTGCATGTATGCGTGGATCCCAGTACCCCACTCATTGCTGCATGCAGACTTGGTGCCAAAAATGTTGTCCATTTCTGGCTTATATGGTATTTGCTTTTAGTATAGATTTTACCATGCCATACAATTTGGGAGTGGGGGTGGGGAGGACAAAATACACTTTTGCCACCTCCTCACAGTTGAAGTTTTAATTTTAGGTTTCAGCTTCCTGACAACATGTATCAACAGCTTTAAAATCCAGTCAAGATGTTCTGTTGGAAAGTGCTTGGCCTGGATCATTGTTTTCATTTCCCTTTTTTCCTCAGGAGAAATTCCGACAACTAATTCCTCCTCTGGCTCAAATTGTTGTACTTGTAATTGCCAACCAGCATTGCAGGCCATTCTTCAAGAGCTTAAGACCATGAGAAAGATAATGCAGATTCAAGCAGGTATGCCAGTCTGTCATTCCCTCCCCTCCCCAAATTCTTGAGGTATAATCTTCAGTTGGGAGATGGATTGCCTTATATACACTTCTTAAGCTCTGTGCATTTTATGAAAGCTTACAGTGGTGGTGCTCAACTGATACAGATTATACCATTTATTAAAACAAATGCATTGGTCAGGTAATAGAGTTGTAGAACCTGAAGAATTCTACTTGAATAGTTCTCTACAGGTTGAAACATTCTATCTGACCAATATAAACCATTTTGACCACCTCTGCTTTTTTGTTTACTTCTGTAAGCTTGCATACTATTTATCCATGAAGAATTACATGGACAGATTTATCATTTATCATATTTCATCATCAGCTCCTTCAGCTGCAATGGCTGTGGGCTCTGATATTAAAAAGGTGAGAATGCAAACCCAATGTAATATATAGGGCAATTTCAGCCAAGAATGATGAAGAATGCTGAGAGTGGAGAAGAGAGTAGAGTATACCAACAACTTTCAGATATTTCAAAACTCCACTAAGGATACCGATAGAGGCAAAAGTTTTCAATTTCAGGAAATGAGGTTTCGGTTAACTATCAGGAGGAAAATAACAACAGGTGAAGAAACTGCCTCAGGAGCAAGTGCGTGTAAGCTAGATGAGCATCTATCTATTGAGGATGTTTCGAATATTAGGCTGGTTCACACGTGTGTGTACACTGCTTGATTTTTGCAGAACTGGACATTCCATATTTGATGAAAGCCAGCTGTGTGGGCAGACTAACTCTATTGCAAAGCATTTTGTCTGAGAAGATAAAGAAACTGTGTGTGTGGTATTAGCGCAAGTCATCATGGTGTGGCAGTTATCAAAGAAACAAATAGGCTTAGTTTAGAACATCCCTCCATCAAGATGGGGGATTTAAGGTGTGCCTTTTAATTTCCATACTAGCAAAAAAGCTGATATTCCATGTATAGGTGATTTCTTAAAGTCTAAAAGGAAGAGGACTTACATGCAATTATTATACTTGGAGTGTTATCAAAATATTGGGATTCACAGAACATCTCACACTGAATTTGGGACTAAATGACAAGGATTATGAATTTCTTTAGCCTGGCATGAGGGTGGGGAAGAAAGATAATCCTTTGCCAAGTTGCTGGAGGACTGGACATCCCTGACTTTCAGTGCTCATTTTCCATCTTCATAACTTGATTGAGGATAATCCAGCCCTCTCTGCTTAAGAATGCTCTCAAATCTAAAGGACAGCCCACGCCAGAAGCTCTACAATAACCTGGAAGCCTCTGGAGTGTCCTGTCGTTTTAGTGCTGAGAGGACCACCAACCAGCTGGGAAGGAAACCAAAGAGCAGAGTTGCCTTTAACAGTTCTAGTGCTGATCTCAGGCTTCACTCCCATGCTGGAACAAAAAGCTGCCCTAGAGGCTTCATCATTCGAGAACCTGCACACTGTAAGTTCAACACAGCATGCTTAAGAATCACATTCCATATCTGAGCTAGCTTCTCTCTCTTCAGACCTTCTGGAGTGTCTCTCTCCCTTCAGTGTTGAAAAGACAGAGGAATGACCAGCTAGATTAAACTTAGTGGCTTGTACACAGCTATTGGTTCAAGCACAGTGCAAGGTAGCACCTCTAAGCTGGTAGATGGTGTCTTGGAAACAGATAGGAGAGTCAGCTTGTCATCACTGGCTTGTAGAAAATGCAATCATAGATACATGTTAATCTGTGGACTTGTGGGTTTTTCTTTCTTTAGTTGCTGCTCAGAACAGACAACAGCCTCCAGTTCCTTTGGTTTGCGCACAGAAATCAACCATGTCAAGAAAGAGAAATAAAAAGAAAAAAAATTCCCCAAAGACTATTGAATCTCTTACTGTGAATAGGAAGCTCAGCACTGCAGAGAATGAAAAAAAGCTGCCAGCAAGTTCTGAAAGGTCAAGTACGGAAGTGACTGAATCGTCTTTGAAACTGGAACCCCAGGTTTCAGGATTTGGCATTGTCCTTGAATCTTCTTCTTCAGATGTAAGTTGACCAGATGTAATAAATTACAGAAAATGTTCATTTGCTGGAAAAAAGTGATTCTGATTGCAGTGCTGGCCTTGTGCAGCAAGTCTTAGAATAAGGCTGCAATGTTTTCCCTAGGGACCTTTCTTAAACCTGCAGATTGTAATATCTTCCATATATGCTTTTTCCAGGAAGGTTTGTGTGCAGGAATTGACAGTAATGGAATTACACATGGTTGCCCACTTCCTGTTTCACATTTTCCACTAGTATATCTCTGATGACGTCACTCAAAAAAACACATTAATTGAGTCTGTTAAGTTAAGTTGGAAAACCACACTGGGCTGATAGCAGGAATTACTTGGTCTTCTCAATTTGTTCTAGGGAACCTGAGATTTCATGTTAAAGGGAATGGTATGAAATGGTCAAGAAAGCACACATGTCATGGATTTTGAGGCAGGCTGTTTTGTGCAGTTCCAAAAAGGCAATGAATCATCTGTAGCTCTTGAGAACCAGTTTCTCAATTTTGTTAATTGGTTTTGCATGACTGGCTTTCTTACCCATGTTTTCACAACATTATTTATTTATTTAAAACATTTCTATGCCGCCCCCTTCGCAACAAAGCCTCGGGGCGGCTCACAAAAAAAATACAAAAAAACATACATAAACAATAACAATATAACAATTTAAAAGAAAAATTTTTTAAAACCCCTGGTGCATTCTTGGCTAATTTTAAAATCCTAATAAATACAATAATTTAGCAATTAAAATAAGTTTTAAATAAAAAGGTCTTAGCCTTTTTAGGCTAAGCCTCACATAATGCTGCTTCAGTGTACACAAATGCCATAAATATACATGGATAACAGTTGTACTTCAGCTAGTTTGTAATATACAGTTTAACAATGTGGAAGATGGCAAAGGTGAGAGAAAGGGAGAAAAGGACAAGTTTAACAAAGTATCTTTGAGATCAAATGCAGTGGCTTGTACTTAAATTCAGTGGGGGTGATAAATAGGATTAAGCAATATGATTCATGGAAAAGGTGGGTTCTCTTAGAATGCCTCCTGTTGCTAAATTAATGCCAAGGATAAGATTACATAACTGAAGAACTTCATGGGTTAGTTTATAGTATCTCTATTCACATGAGTCTTTGACATAAACCTGGCAAAGGTGAGAATTGTACTACAATACTTGGAAGCAGTTTTCTTTCTAGGAAGGATCTTTCACATGATTGTTCTTTTCTCTACTACCTTTTCTTCCTGATATAATTATTTTTTTATTGTTGTCACATAGAACTAGAATAGTTTGTTCTTTCTTATCCCTACCATAGATAATGATGGAATGAGTAGTCATTTGAAGGCTAATTGAATGTCACTTTAACCTGTGCTACCTAATGGTTACAGTTTATTAGGAAGTGCATCCTTATGTAATGACCATCACAGAGCTTTGCTGGGAACTTTAATAATATGAGAACAGACTGTTCTGGGTAGCACAGCAAAGTCATCCTGTTTACCATCCAGAAGTACAATCGGCTCTCAATTGTGCCACGGCTGTTTAATCTTAACCATGGAATTGAACTACCTAATTTTATATTCTCCCTTCGCACAAAGACAGCATCAGCAAGCAGAGCTTCCCACTGGGTCCTTGAAGGTGTGCTTTGCAGTATGTGGGCTGGAATTTGCAAATGTCATAATATGATGGCCCGGGAGGCCCCTTCTGACTCGCTCTGTATTCTATGTTTCTATATATGACTGGGATTTAGAAAGGGTGCATTTGGCATTTTCTGATTTTGAATTAGGTGTTTGTAGAATAAATACCTGGAGAGCAAGAAGGTGGCCAGTTGGCTTTGTTAGTACTCAGGTGGATGATGTCTGAAAAGTTCACTGATGAGTAAGCTGATCATTAACTTCTTCAATGTATCTTTTTAATTTTGAGAAGACAGGTTCCAATTTCCTAAGTACAGCAAGCTTAGAGGAGATAATTAAATTCTGTATCAATGATCAAAAATGAAAGGAATTCTGTAGATAATATTGTACCTTTCTAGAAGTGCAAACTAAAAAGAGCAGTCATGATAATTCAGTTACACGGATGTCGGCTACACCAGTAATTAGATTAGTGTGTCATACCACAGACTCTATTTAATGATAGATAGTAACTGGTTAAATGCTTTTCTGTGGTTCTTATGCCATGATTATAATTATGGCTAGAAATGTTTGTGCTAAGAGAAAATTAGTAATTTCTCTTTCAATTTTATAATTAATAGTATAATTTGGATTTGTTTTTATATATCCTTCAAGGTTTTGCATATGTTTTTGAACATGCAGATTCAATTTTATTTGCGTTTTAATCTCACCAAAGTGTTTTTGGTTCTTTATGGATGTAAAACTGAATCTAAGAAAACGTGAAAAAAACAAGTTTTGATTCATAGAGGAACTGAGTTGTTAGGGATTTCTAATTGATTGACTATTAACTCAGTAATTAATTCCTAGCTTCACTGAACTCAGGTGCTGCTGTGGTTGATTCTAGATTTTCTTACAGGATGCTCCATGAATTTAATCTATCATTCTTTGGGTCAGTTTTTTAAAACTGTTGAAATTTTTATATGTATAGCCATAATCTGTAATGCGCTCTACATGGGGCTGCCCTTGAAGATGGTCCGGATACTTCAATTGATGCAACATAGAGCTGCCAGGTTGCTGACAGGGACTGGGCGTTGTTCTCACATAACCCCAGTCCTCCGTCAGCTTCACTGGCTTCCCATTGAAGTTTGGGCCCAATTCAAGGTGTTGGTTATCACCTATAAAGCCCTCAACGGCTTGGGACCTGGTTATCCAAAGGAGTGCTTGCGTCCATATATGCCCTCCTGCCCCCTGAGATCGGCGGCAGAGGCCCTCCTCTGGGAACCCTCCGTGAAAAGTATTAGGAGGGTGAGTACTTGGAGGAGGGCCTTCTCTGTGGTGGCGCCCCACCTATGGAATGTGCTCCCCAGAGAGGTCCGCCTGGTGCCATCGTTATTTGTTTTTCAGCTCCAGGCCAAGACCTTTTTATTTAAAAGTTATTTTAATTGTTAATTGATTATTTATTGGGTGTATATTGGGTTTTATACCGTGCCTAAATGTCTCCAAAATTTTTAAGGTTAATTGTGCGAATGTTATTTGTTTTGTAAGCCGCCCCGAGGCTCTTTGCGAATGGGGCGGCATAGAAATTTTTTAAGTAAATAAATAAAAATAAATAATATCTTTCAAAGAAAACCTTCTGAATTTGTATATAAGGTATCTTAAACATTTTAAAACCTAGACTCAGAATTTACTTTAAATTCAGTTAAATAAATGTAATATCTGACTAGAGAAAGGAATGTGTTGTTTCTGCTGCTTTTGTTAGAGGTGAGAGACCTGGGTTCAGATTCCCAGTCTGCCATGAAGCTCAGTGGGTAGTCTTGGGCAGTTCATTATATCTTATCTGTCTCTTGTCTAACAAATAAAAAAGGCCCTTCTCCATTTCTATACGGCAAGACAAATACCTACATGCTAGCAGGCACCATCATACATATGAGGGATTACAGTCATTTTAGAAAATGATTTTAAAAAATAGTTCATGTTGTGACATGACGAATGCTGATTGCTCTAGGAGGGGCTGCTTTTCAGAATTAAATTTGAAAGATCTATTGCATGTAAAAAGTTGCCTACACATTTGTGGAATGATCATGGTTGGTCATAAATGTTTTTATCATATAGTCTCTAGTGTGAACTTGAAATAAATCTGCATTGTGTATGTACTACTCATGCAAATATTTGTTATTTATGTGGGCATAATCCAATGGGGTGCTTATGCTGTCACTGATTTTCTTGTGCTCCATTGATTCCATTGTACAAGTGGGACTTATCACTTGTACAACTGAGATTTGATGCTTCTCAGAGGAAGTATTTAAAAATGAGTGGAGGAAAAGCCCTCTTATGGGGAGAACCAAGACAACCCCAAAAGTATAGAGCATTTTTTATGGGACTTGAAGTGTTTACTGCATTTTGGAGGATCAAAGAATGAACAACAAGAGGGAAGGAGAATGAAATGGAGTTCTTGGAAATCTGAACAGGAACACTCCACATTTTAACATGTTGTTGTAGGTCCTGTTTATTTAATTTACATTCAATACATATTAACTAAAGCAGAGCTCTCTGACTTGATTTGTTACTAGGGTGACCTTCTGATTTGAATTAAGGTAATCTCCCCTGCTTTTAGTGGGCCCTTGAGCAAATCAAGCCAGAGCTTTCCCTGGAAACAAAATGACAAAACCGAAGCTGTAGTACTGTAGGCACATCATCAGAAAGCTAGCCAATAATGCTAGGGAAAGTTGAAGGCAGAAGAAGAGGAGGAACACCAGCTATGAGATGGATTGATTCCATAAAGGAAGCCACAGCCTTGAGTTTACAGGAGCTGAGCAGGGCTGTCAAGGACGAAACATTTTGGAGGGCACTCATTCATATGGTTACCATAAGTCAGGGACAACTTGACAGCACATAACCACCAGCACTTGCAGTGAATAAGCACGCCCTTTGTAATTGGCATTTACACATTACTTTTGAGGCTTTCACATTGTTTTGTATATTATTAATCCTGACAGTAACTAAATAAAGTAGCTCAGTATTATTCTCCTATTTCAGGTGGTAAGGGCTGGGAGACAGTAGTCTTCTAAAGGCCATTCAGTGAGCTCATGGTTGAGATTGAACTAGGGATTAGGAATGCAGGTGGAGCTCTGTGTTGTGCTTTTTCAATGCCAATTGCATGTTTCAATATTCATAGTTCTTTAAAAACTATGAATTAAATAGGACTTTTATTTAAACTAAAATCAGTTTCTAAACAAAGTCAGGACAAAGAGAACAGTTATGATTGGAACCCTATACCGGCTTGATTCTGAAGATCCCCTGGCCCTGCTGTGTGTCCACAAGTATGCTGTTTACTGCAAATAGTCAGTATTTTAGCAAGAAATTTACCAGCCTTATAGATATAGATTCTTCACAGTAAAAGTGATCTGTTTTAAACATGCTCCACAGGTTCACTGTAACTGAATAACAGTGCAAGCCTGTGCATATTAAATTAAATAGAAGTCCCATCGTAATTACCAGGGCTTACTCCCAAGTAGCAGTACATAGCATTGCATCCCTATGGTAATTACCTTTTCTAATGAGGAACCAATTGAATATGTTACTTTTGTGTAAATGTTCTGTTTGTTTTCCATGGAAAGCAAATAATTTATGTAGAATTGGGGGAAAATATCTATTTTAATCAAACAAAATGTTCCAAAATGTTTAGGATTAAATCTAATTTGCTTCCTGCTAATTTTAGCACAAGAAAGGTTTTGGCAATTCTCTCATTTGTGTTAATTATGTACACCATTGCCTTGATTATTTTATATTAACAAACTCTATTTGGCTATAAATCATACTTGGAGATGTCCATGTGAAGCTCAATTGGGTACTGATTGCTCACAATTGAAAGATAATTTGGCACTGAAGAAATCTGGAATAAATCAGCATTTTATTTTCTTGTTATGTGACTAGAGTACAGACTGATTCCTCCCTCCCTCATGCGCACCCCCCCACAAATAACATTAATTGCCTTTATAATTGAAACAACATATGCCCTATGAAGAGCCCCTGTTGAACAAACATTTTTCTAGTGCAGAGATACCAGGTTTTCTAAGTTTTTCACATTTTTCTCATGATTATTATTGTTACTATGTGATAGTCTGGTCACTGGAAACTTGCACTATGTGCCAGTATTTTACAGGGTTAACCCAAATCAGTGAGAGAGAGAGAGAGAAAAGGAAAGGAGTTGATCATCCAAATCAAAGATGTAACTTAAAGTATTTGCATTTCAAGACATCTCTGCCTTCATTATTACCCATTGGAAAAATGACTTGGTCTGTGCATTAGAATGCTGCTTATTAAAATATTTTGTCCCTGACAATTAAAAAAAGCCTGTTTCCAAAATGTCATTTGGCCTTACCTCTGGCCTTTATTGTGAGTTTCTCAACTGTTTTTGCATTTGGGTATTGGAACTAAAAAGGGCTTGCTCATGCTATGTAATTAACTTATGGAATTCTTTAGTGCAAGGCATGATGACTCACAACTTAGCTGGCTTTAAAAGGAGATTAGCCAAATGTATGGAGGGTAAGAAATTATAGTTATGATTATTATTGTTAGTCTTTCTATAACACCCAATAGCCAAAACTATCTGGGTGGTGGACACTTAATATGTAAAATAACAGACTATAAAATAAAACAATAAAAACATCATAGAATCACACTAAAATATTTATACCACATTTAACCATTTAAACAAATATCAATAGCTGCTAGCCATAAGAGATGAATGGAGCCTCCTCATCCCAAGCAGTCCATGATTAACAAACCATGAGTTGTTCATAAGTTTGCAGAAATGAACAAGTACACTGGTTTCCATATACTCAGTGTTTCTCCTTTCCTAAACAACCCAGGAATGCCCTGTTAGGTTAACTGCCCTGTTAGATTAAACCCTAAACAATCCAGATTTTCTGGGTTTAGATGTCGTAATAACATTCTTTCAAGAGAAAGAAGTGCTCTTGAGTTGCTAGGAAAGCAGCAGTGACTGACTTGTGGGAGGCCATGTGTTGGATTCCTGCAAAAAGACCATTACTAACTGTGGTTTAAACATCCCATAGTAAGCTGTTACATCAATATGTCTGTGAATATCAGATGCAATGAACGTATAGAGAACATATATAAGCATTAGGTTGCATTTACAACCAAAGAAATCTGGAGTACAACAAGGGATTACTGCAATTTATTATTGTGAGATTGAAATGTGTCCCCAAGTGCAACAATGGTCATTGCCAGTGCTAAACATACAGTTACAAAGCTAGCTGCCTGGGATTTTCCCAGCTCTAGTAATTAAGATTTAGTAACTATAAGAATGTGTGCAACAGATAATGGAAGTCATATTTTTGATTTGCATTATGTTATGATCAGTTGACAACTTTTATTCCAATGAAACAGATATATATCTTGGTGTCAAGAAAGCATAGTATTGAAATATTGTATATGTATTGCAACAAATTCTCATTCACTTTCAATTTTGCACAAAATGGTTATACAGAAGTTGCTAATAACAAATTTATATTCTTTTGGTAGCCAGAAGTACAACTTGCTGAAGGTTTTGATGTCTTTATGCCTAAATCCCAACTGGACTCTATATTAGCAAATTACACTCGCTCAGGAAGCCTGCTATTTCGAAAGCTGGTGTGTGCATTTTTTGATGATAAAACCTTGGCCAACTCTTTACCCAATGGCAAGAGGAAAAGAGGTCTCAATGACAACCGAAAAGGACTAGACCAAAATATTGTGGGTGCAATAAAAGGTACTATTTTTCATTTTAATAAATCTATACCTTTTAAATGTCATCTAATTATTATACTATTTCACATTTTGGGAAAGAGTAAAAACATACAGGTGATCTTTATGCTTTCTCACTAAGCTCAACTGCAGGCTTATACTCAGTAATGTGTTCTGGAAATCTGGTCTTCATCAGCTCTTTGGATGGTAAAAATGTTCCTAAGAATACACTTCTTCAGATTGTGGCTTGAGTAATACATCATTTTTATCACTGCACTGTACATGCTGTTTAGTACAAAGCTGGGTAGGCTTATAAGATCTAATTTTTTACTAGAACTGTGAGATCCACCAACTGATCCTGGTGCAAAAGAAATAAACTTAGAAGACCAAGGGGTGCTTCCAAATTTTTGTGTACTTGTCCTGCCTCAAACATGGAATTTTAGAGGGGAAACGTGATCCCAAGTTCATTTTCCACTGGGTTACCTCCAGTTTGGTGGGGCAATCTTTTACCTTTTGTTGTTGTTGTTGTTGTTGTTGTTAAACAATTGGGAGCCAGATTCTTGCTCATCTACTGTGAATTGTCCAGACAGCTACAGTGGCTCATAAACTACTCTCTCACACCTTTTGTAGTATATTCCAGTGGTTCCCAAACTGTGTTCTGTGGAACCCTGGGGTTCCAGAAAATCCTTGTGGGGGTTCTGCGAAAAATCTCAAAAATGGATTTTAAAATGAAACCACATGAGGCCAATTATTTGATTGTCAGTTGACATCCAAGTAACAAACAAGGAAATACATCATGTCATTTGTTTCCTAGGACTCTATTGTGTAGTGCTGGGAATAGTTGAAATAATTCATTTGGGGTATTACCATACAATTGCTCTATTCATTTGTTATATTTAAAATGTTTTCTCTTTATTTTCAAACCTACTATGTTAGGCAAAACACTCAGGCTATGAAAGAAGGAATAACATTGTAGGTTCACAATGCTTAGTAAAAATAAGGGATAGAGTTAGGGTTCCACGAAAAAAAAAAGTCTTTACAAAGGTTCCATGACCAAAAAAGTTTGGGAACTGCTGGTGTACTCTTCACAGATACGACTACACATATAAAGCTAGTATGTCAAAGTGAGTACATTAAAAATAGATTCCTTCTTCATCTATACTATTTAATTTTTTGTATACAGGGAATATTTTTTATATGGCGGAACATTTAAATGCACAGGTCCTTGCTTGCTTTGGGGATAGTGAAATATTACTGATTTTATTTATCAATGAAATTAAATTAGTTTTATATTTAAGACATTTAGTGCATCATGTTGTATTTATGAGTTTATAGCCCTCATTCCTTTGAAAGCTGTATTTACAAATTAATTATTTTTCCATAATATTCTGGATCCATCTGGATGCAGCAGTGAAGAGGATGAGCACCAGAGCCAATGTGCAAAACCACATGCAATCTCAGTGCAGAACTGAAGGATATAGGAGCCATTGATTATCCACATTAAGCACTAAAGTGCTCTTACCCATATGCATACTTTGTCTGCCTTCTAACAGAGCCATTCTTTTAAATGGCTGTAAAGTCTAGCACTCATCTCTTGTCCCACAATTCCTGTAAGAGAAGACTAACATGGAACCATTCTGTTCTTCGTGCATTGCTGGGATTATAGCCATTGCTTCCCTTGTTTTGAGAAGCTACGAAACTTTAAATGAGCCTAGTAAAGGAAACAGGGTAAGTGTGCTCGCCACACAATTTATTGGAAAATTTATGCTTCAGCAGAAGTTCTGACAGGAATACCATTCTGTTGCCTATTTCCCCTAGGTGTTAATTTAATGTTAACTATTGCTTTTGAGTAGGACAAGTTTTGAATGCATTTCAGCAGAGATAGCTTCAACTAGTGCTGTGAATCTGGGTCAAAGAGGTTGGGGGACTGCCAGATTCATATTTCATAAATGCTGATGTTTGAAAAGTTGTAAAGCAGCCATGTTTCCAGTTATTTGAGAAATAACTACAAGCAGGATTGTAACATGGCTCCCTTCTTGATAAAAAGGACTCAAGCTGATTAAATAAATAAAACAAACATGGAATTTAAAACTCCACTACAAGTCTCAAATATTAAACTCTCTAAATCATTATTTTCAGTTGTATTTAGCAGCGGATAGTATTGGGGGTGGTACTGCTAGGCACTGCTATACTAAGAGGACTCTCTCTATTGTCTTTATGGCATCACACAAGTGATATTGCTTGGAAGACCCAGCTATGTTTGATAGGGGATTCCTCTCCAGCAAGTGATGGCACCCTGTGGAACTTTCCTCTGCCTGGCTCCATTTACAGATTTTGCCTGTGAAGCACTATTCTGCAAGATACTATAGATCTATTTATTCCTTGTGGTGGCTCAGCCTCTGTGAGATCTCTTAAGAATGACAAGATACTGCTTACATCATTCCTACAAGAGGTTCTTCTACCAGCCCTTCCAGATGTTTTTAAATTCTGCTTCTGGTTCCCTTTCCTATTATCAGAAAGTGAGCAGGCCATGCCCAATAAATCAGTTAGATAAATATTGTAAAGAAGGCTCTTCACTATAGCAATTCGTTTTATTGCTCCTTTCTTTACACCTGCACTATTCAGCAAACCAAGAGATAGAGTAATATTTTTCCTACATCTGTCATTTTTATTAATATAGAGAAACCGAAAGGTTATGGAAATGGGGCCATAAAATGGGGCAGTGCAAGTGAGTGACAGAGCTTGAATCATGCACCATGGTTCATTCTGGGTCTTGAATCCATGAGGGGCTATGGCAGCGATGGGCATCAGACTGCATATCTAGTCCCTACTTGGGGTTGTTGTGCTCTGTGAAGGTTTATGCATGTGTTAAACAGCAGGTCATTGGTAATGCAAGAATTGTTTAACACACTTGCAAGGTTTGCATGACATGGCAGCCTCCTCGGGAGGGTTGCTTATTCAAAATCACAGTTGCACATACTTTGTTGCCTCACCTTGGATAAAAAAACCCATGATGACCTGTCATGCTGTACAAACAAACCACAGTGGTTGTTTCAGTGCCAGTCCCTACTTTTCTTCCAAGTCGGCTTTGCCATACATTTTTCCTTTAGCCTTCACCTCCATCTCTTTCGACTGTTGCCTCTGTTTGCTGCCTCATATGCATGATTACCTCAAGTCCCATGCTTTTTCTGCTGTTCAGTCCTGAGATTCCCTGTGGCCACATTAGTGAGATTAGTGAGTGCATAGGTCCATGCTGGAAAATATTTCTTGGATGTTTCTGAATCAGGAAGTGCAGGGTTAGTTTCTTGGCTGCTGATACCACAAGTATTGAAACATGCAAGTAGAGCAGAGAGAAATTAATTGGTCTGTTAGTTGGTGAAATTGTAGCTGACATTCATTCTTAATTCAGAGTACATTTTTATGGGATGGGCCATTTTAGGATGTCTCTCCTAGGCAAGAAGCAAGCAGTCTCCAAACAAAGATTATTACCCGACTTTCTCTCCTGTCCATGTAGGTGAAACAATCTAAGCAGTGATGCATGGCGGACATTTCTCTGTGGAAAATGTTCTACTTCATAACTCTATCAATAACAATGACTGGATGCCAATAGCAAATACAATATTGGGCAAGTTAGGCAGTTTCAGAGATGTTTTCAGGTGATTATTCCTAGCGAGTATGTGGAAGCGTACATGTATGTCGCTGAAATACATCACAATGGGGAATGAACCCAAGTAAGTGGTGACAGCAGAACTGAAGGTGCCCCAGCATCTTCCTCTGAAGAAATTAATATTTTGAAATAAACATGTGGTTGCCATTATACTCTGCACAGTTCTTTGGGATGCTAAAATACATTAGTATGTCAGCAGTGTTCAGTACCATTTTGTTTTCTTTTTTGAAAGAAAAAAATATGCTATTTTCTTTCTATACTTACAAGCATTTCAATAAAATTTGTGATGTGTCAGTTCCCATTATGAATATGCAAATAGGTGGCAGTTTCTAAGGCTTAATAGGTTATGCTAACAGGGCCAGTGGTGGCTATTTGACAGTTTTAAAAAATCTCATGTTATCCCTAAAACAGACAGTGTGACTCAGTGAGAGTAGACGATATGGCAGTCTGCAACAACCCCTGGCCAAGTTTGCATATTTATAATGGTGAACACCAGGCACTATAACTCCCTGAGGGTTAATTAACCCACAGTGGGTTGTTAGGTCATCCATACCAGATTATAGTACCCTCTGATTTTTTTCCTTCTAATATTTGTGGTGCATTGGGACAAAAAAAAAAATAACATGGAGTACATGTTTTACTTTGTTTACTAAACATGCTAAATTAAATGATAAAATTGACCATCTTCTGATGCAGATTATCTATGCATTTTGATTTGCATTGGCATTTTTAAAGAAATCTTTCCAGTCTACAATTTCCCAAAACTGCATCTCAATTTGGATTAGAAAGCTAAATTCTGAACACAGAGAATAATTTAGGATGCTGTTATAGATTCTTTCACTTTGAAAACTTTCACATAACAATAGGAAGGAGAATCTGTATCTCTTCTTTTTTTCTCTCTTGTAAAGAAACATTTTTAAATACAGTTTTTGAATTGAATAGAGTTGCCCAAATTTTGTGTCAATGGAAGATAGTGATGTGAAATAAGAGGACATACTAATAACAGAGACAGAAGAGATTAAGAAGAGATGGCGAGATTACACAGAGGAACTGTACAAGAAAGAGCTTAACATCCCTGATAACCACGGTGGGGTGGTCACTGACCTCGAACCAGATATCCTGGAATGTGAAGTCAAATGGGCCTTAGGAAGTCTGAGCAACAACAAAGCTAGTGCAGGTGACAGTATTCCAGCTGAGCTATTCAAAATCTTAAAAGACGATGCTGTAAAAGTGCTACATTCAATATGTCAGCAAATTTGGAAAACTCAGCAGTGGCCACAGGATTGGAAAAGGTCAGTTTACATTCCGATCCCAAAGAAGGGCAATGCCAAAGAATGCTCAAACTACTGCACCATTGCACTCATTTCACATGCTAGCAAAGTGATGCTCAAAATCCTACAAGCTAGGCTCCAGCAGTATGTGGACCAAGAACTACCAGAAGTACAGGCAGGATTTCGAAGAGGGAGAGGAACTAGAGATCAAATTGCCAACATACGCTGATGGAGAAAGCTAGGGAGTTCCAGAAAAACATCTACTTCTGCTTCATTGACTATGCTAAAGCCTTTGATTGTGTGGATCACAACAAATTGTGGCAAGTTCTTCAAGAGATGGGAGTACCAGACCATCTTATTTTTCTCTTGAGAAACCTATATGCAGGTCAAGAAGGAACAGTAAGAACTGGACACGGAATCACTGATTGGTTCAAAATTGAGAAAGGAGTTTGGCAAGGCTATATACCCTGCCTATTTAATTTATATGCAGAGCACATCATGAGAAAGGCAGGGCTAGATGAATCACCAGTTGGAATTAAGATTGCTGGGAGAAATATCAACAACCTCAGATATGCAGATGATACCACTCTAATGGCAGAAAGTGAAGAGAAACTAAAGAGCCTCTTGATGCAGGTGAAGGAGGAGAGTGCAAAAGTTGGCTTGAAACTCAGCATTAAGAAAACTAAGATCATGGCATCCGGTCCTCTCACTTCCTAGCAAGTAGATGGGGAAGAAATGGAGGTAGTGACTGATTTTATTTTCCTGGGCTTCAAGATTACCACAGATGGGAACTGTAGCCAAGAAATTAAAAGACGCTTGCTCCTGGGGAGGAAAGCTATGACAAATCTAGACAGCATACTAAAAAGAAGAGACATCACCCTGCCAACAAAAGTGCATATAGTCAAGGCTATGGTTTTCCCAGTGGCAGTGTATGGCTGTGAAAGCTGGACCATAAGGAAGGCTGAGCACCGAAGATTTGAGGCCTTTGAATTGTGGTGCTGGCGGAGACTCATGTGAGTCCCTTGGACAGCAAGGCGATCAAACCGATCAGTCCTAGAGGAGATCAACCCTGACTGCTCTTTAGAAGGCCAGATGCTGAAGATGAAACTCAAATACTTTGGCCACCTAATGAGAAGGAAGGGCTCCCTGGAGAAGCCCTTGAAACAACTAATGCTGGAAACAATAGATGGCAGAAGAAGAAGGGGACGGCAGAGAATGAGGTGGCTGGATGGAGTCACTGAAGCAGTTGGTGTGAGCTTGAGTGGACTCAGGGGGTTGGTGGAGGACAGGAAGGCCTGGAGGAATGTTGTCCATGGGGTCATGATGGGTCGGACACGACTTCGTGACTAACGACAACAACGACAACACTAATTTTCTCTTAAAATAATGTATGTTCATCAGATCTCCGTGTTGATGAAACCCTTTAACTTAGGCATGAATATAGCCTGAAATATGTATGAGGTCTTTATCTTGATAATTCTGATTTACAAACTCAAAACTGTACATTATGTATTCAGATTTCATATTTATATATTTGTCTGTGTCAGTTTGCACCACTGATTCCATACAGTCTTTTTTTGTTCTCTGTCTAAACGTCTGGAGATTAGTCATTCTGGTTAAGAATGTTTCTGGAATTTCAATGCCATATCGTGTTAATGATTTTCAATATGGTAAATGTTTGAGTTCTTCAGACAGTGTTCCCCAACCTCATTCCCTCTAGATGTGGTAGACTACAACTGCAGTTATCTCTAGCTAGCATAGCTATTGGGTCTGCTGACTGGGAATTGTGGGAGTTGTAGTCCAGGTGGCCAGAATATCTAAAGGTCATCTGGTTGAGGGCGCCTGACTTAGGAAATCTGTACTGCAGAAACTAAAAGTTATTTGGGTGCCTTCTACAAACAATCTAAGAACTGCAATTTAGATTTATATTGCAATTCCTGATATAGTTATCATGAGACTATTGTCACTTTCCATATGCATCTAAGGTCATGATTCTGTGTCATCTGCCCTTGATGTAGCCAATCCAGGGCTCAAGGCATGGCAGTGGCAATGCCTACCACCCTGCACCTCATGCCCTATAATTCATGGTAGTTTTCGACTATCAAGATGAAGCTCCAGGTATGGGGAGGGAAGGAGGATTTGATGCCTTTTTGATATGCCATCAGTTTTCAATATCAGCTTCCTCTATCCACTGGCACATCCCTTTAGCCCTTTCCAAGGAGTAATACCATGGTCTCCCAGACAATACCAGGAGGCCATAAAATTGGACCTTAATGGGGATTATCTGTTTAATTTCCCTACAGTTGAAAAATTGACAGGTATGGTAAAAAGTTTGTTGACTTTGTAGATACAACATTTTATTTGAGAAGATTTCCAACTTGCACTTGAAGTATGTAAAATGCTGAACTTCATTTTAATCTTGCTTCCTTTGTGATGTGTTGCAGAAACCTTTATTTGAAGTTCCCAGTTGTTTTCCAACTTAGAAGGATGTGGTAGATGTATGTGTATGTTTGTTTGCTTGTTTGTTTGATAACCATGATTTGTATTTTTTTTAGTGTTCACAGAAAAATACTGCACTGCAAACCATGTGGATAAACTCCCTGGGCCAAGAGACTGGGTACAGATTCTGCAGGATCAAATCAAACTGGCAAGACGAAGGTTAAAAAGAGGCTCAGGTGCGTATGTGCAGTGGGATTAGCCTGAATGAGGACAGCAAGGTGATAAGGCATCTAAGACCCAGTGATGAGGAAGACCTCTGCTCTTCAGGGTTGCCTAATGCATACATGTATACCTTTCAGATTCTTGTCATTTGACATTCAACATTCTGACTCTAACTTGAATATGTGAATTGAATATATTGAAAAGTTCTCTGTTCTTGAAATGACATGAAAGCTGCCTGTGGTGTTTGATCTGTAAAAATTCCACATGTGCAAATCTTGGCCTGATTTTATGGGCAGCATGTGATTAACTGTTGTTCTTCTCCTATCGATGTATATTCTTTTTTAAGATCGCTAATATAATTCCAGAGTTTCAGCAGACAATAGAACTGTAATTCTCAAAGTCTGAACCAAACCTCTGTAAGCTTATTCTAGCTGTCACAGGGCAAAAGGGGGATGCACAGGTTCTTCCCTAGCTTTCTCATTCAGATTAATTTTGTTGTAACCTGATTAATTCAAGAATGCAGAAGGGTTAGATGTCCTCCTGCTTATGTTGTTTTATGTACAGGAATTTGTGGAATAGCTCTTTCTCCTTTGCACTGCCTTTTTGCTTCATTGGGCCCCCCTATCATGAACTTTCAAATGATTTGTAGGCCCATGTGCTTAAGAGCTAAAGTAGTCTGGGTAATTAAGACCATTTTTGCCATTTCACTGTACATGGGTCAGTAAATCAATGTTTTACTTCAGCACAAATTAGCATGTGGCTCTTGTAACAAGGTCCTTTTTTTCCCTCAACCGGCAGCTCAGTTGCTCCTAGCTTTGACCTGTCAGCTTTCAAGTCTGTAACTTTTGTCTCTTTTGTCAGTCTAGGACTTTCACACCTGTGGAAAATAGTAGGAGTAAATGCAAACACATTTACCTAAACGTTTTGTGACATTTTTCAAATGGTGATCCACAAATGCAAACCACCTTGAATATTTTCTAAAGAATTACCATTTGAAGCTAAATCCATCATTACTTTGTGACTTCTGCTTTGTATTAGAAATTAATGCAGGGAGGTACACAAGACCCTGGTGTGTACTTATAAGCCACCCCAGTGGACTTAGCATTTGCATGTGGCTCCACTCTCCCTGATAAACTGACAAGCACAGCAGGGATGCTGAGGCATTTCCTTTCCCTGATTCCCTGCTCATTCCTCCCACTGGCATCCTGGACATCACAGGAACAGGGATGACAGCTGTCCAAAAGTGCCAAAGCAGCACTTAGGAGCAGCTCTCAGATGCCAGCTGGCTTCCAGGTGGGCTGCTTAGCAGTCAGGGAGGTCAAGCAGAATGTGACTCATGCCTGCCCCCTGTTGCGTGCCACAGTTATCAACAGGGATACAGTCTCCTTAGCCTCTTTCTGAGAACTCACTTCCCTGCCATACCTTGGCATGGTGGCTGCTGAGCAGGTGCTCCCCCCCCCCGCCCAATTTGCACTACTTGGGGGCACCTTCTGCCAAGCCTCCTCCAGGAACAAACCAGGATAATGCAGCATCACTGTGCACTATGCCAGGCAGGACTTGAGGAGGCTGCCCACAGCAGCAAGGAAGTTGATAATAGCTGCCCCAAGTGCCACTTCTGCAGTTTTGGCTGCTGTCATCAGAGCCACTTAGCTAGAGCTGCAAGACCTTTCACTGCTTTTGCAAAATGACTCTGTAGGTTTGGGGGCTCCACCTGGGCTTGTTGTGACTTCTTGGTATGGAGGACACAACAAGTCCAAGAGTAGCTATGGAACCCTATGGAACAAGCCATGGCTTGCTGGGGTGGCTGCACAGGTACAAAGAAGGTGCTCTGTGGGCAGGAGGGTGCACGAGGCACAGACAACAGTCTAAGCCAGTGGTTTTCAACCTTTTATAGTTGGGGACAGGCAAAAATGGTAAAATTATTTGGGAGACCGCTGAGGCAGAAATAAAAACCATTTTATACATAATATAGTATTTTGTGTATTAGTTTTTAAATATAGTACCAAAAAAATGAAAATTCTCTAAACAACCAGAAACTGAGCAGTAAAAAATGTTAATAGAAGAAAAAAATATTGAAATTAAATGTAATCGAATACAACTGAAATTTTTAGAGAGCAGTATGTAATTCAAATAAGCCTACTGTGAAATCTGCTGTTGCTTCTTTTTAAGAATACTTGATCAAAAATTTACAATAGCAAAATACAAAATCAATATAAATGCAATACTATGCTCATAGCAAGTACAAATTCAGATACAATAGTAATAGAAGAGCTATACAAAATCAAACAAAGTTACTTAATATAATAATATTCATAATGTTAAATCATGAAATACAATGACCCCGCCCCCCCCCCACTCCAAACCCCCATACACACCAGCATAGACTGGCTGAGAAAACACTCTTAGCACAACCCTGCCTCAGCATTTTCCCTTACTAGCAGAAAACACAGCAGAGAACGGGAAAAGCCCCATCTTCTTCAGGGCAGACCTGGTGTGGTGCAGCTCCCAGCTAGTTCCTATTAAGCTGTTCTCCCCTTCCAAGCCTCCTTGGAAGAGGAAGAGGTGGGGAATCAGCAGCCAGAGCACAGCTAGCCCCACGCTGGTCCTGGCAAGCAAGAAGGCAGGAAATGCCGGCAGACTGGTGTCGGTCCACAGACTGGCTGTTGAAAACCACTGGTCTAAGCTTCAAACTCATGGTGATTATTTTATCTCACAAAACCAGCCAGTTGTGTTTTTAAGCTTTTCACTACCACTTCAATTAAAAAAGCAGAAAACTTACTAGACCTCAACTTTGACAATACTTTTATACTGCGGGGGCGTCTCTGGTGGTTCTTATATGAATCGTATTTCCCAATTCAATTATTACATTGCTAGAACCATAGGAGTATTTTATACAATAGGAAAAAAATCAACTTACCATCTAGTTACTTAATTAAATGCTATTGCCTGCTTCTTCTGCTTAAAAGTACCCAAAGTGGCATACAATACTAAGAAAAGCACCAAGAACAACTAAAACTACCATAAAGAAAGAACATTTAGAGTCTAATATTACCTCCATATAATAAGACTGGAAGCATACCAATAATTAAAAGGTGATAACACTTGCAGTCTCCTTAAGAAAAATTTGAGTAGCCTTGAAACAGGTTTGCAGGAAAGCCTTTCCAATTATAGTATGCAGAAAGTAGTCTAGGCATAACTTCTTTGGAAATTAACTCTACAAAATGCATTAATATAGCAGGACCTACTCCTTACCTCTACAGCCTTTTGCTAAAAATGTGGAACATAAAACAAAGCCTTTCCAGTTATCTCAGAGGTGTAAGGAGAAACATGTGGGAGAAGCTGTTTGCTCAGGTACATTAAGCATGTTATTGATCTCTGTAGAGAAAAGATGTTTTGGCTAAGGCTTTGTAGTGAATACTGAGATTTGGATTGTGAGAACTATTTCCAACTAGACTACAGTTGATACAAACTGTGGGGTGTTAATATTCCAATCCAAATTTTAGGCCTGCAACAGGAAAAAGCTTATTTCACTAACAGATGTTTGGGGCCCTTCTAGCACAGTGCTATGCATGTGCACCCAAACGTAACTCCCACTGAGTTTAGCAATATTGACTTCTTGGTAAATATGGACAGAATTGCAGTCTTTGTATACCCCCTTCTTTGGGAGTTTGCTGAGGATTGATCTAATATCCCTAGCTATAAGACATTGCAGTAATCCAAGCAGAACAGGGTAAGCATAACTACTGTGAGACTATCTCTACCCAGGCAGGGTCACACTTGGTATATCAACCTAATCTGATAAAAGGTGTTCCAAGCCCTGGAGATCATTTGTGTCCCTAGTAACAATCATAGAGCCAACAGCAGCCCCAAACTATGCTATTTGAGTGGGAGTGCAACACCCTCCATAACAAGTAAATGCTGCTCAGCTAAGCAGATGAACCACCTACATTACTATGTCTGCCTCTGGACTGAGTTTCAGTTGATGAGCCCTTATTCAAGCACTGGTTCAGAACATCAACTGCCTCATGGATGAAAAGGTGAGATAGAAGTGGGTATCATCAGCATCTTGGTGACTCCTTAACTTGCATTACCAGATAAACTCTGCCAGCAGTTTCATGTAGATGTTGGAAAGTGTGGAGAATGATACATATTCCAGTGGAACACTGTAGCATACTTGCTATAGTCCCTCAGCACCCCGTTCTAGAATTGACCCACCAACCCAGGGACCATATCCCAACCCAGACAGCCTATTCGGAAGGATATCACAGTTGAAGATATTAAAGCTACATTGAAATAACAGGGTTTTGCTTTCCCTGGCTTTCCTTCAGTATATGCTATCCCACAAGCCATCCATGGTAGTTTGTTTTCTTAAACAAGGGGTGAAGCCTATAAAAATAGTTCTTCATCCTCGCTCAAGCATTTTTTTGATGAAAGAATGTTGACAACTAGCCTATAGTTGTTTTCCCCTTCTTGGTCCAGGTTAGGTTTCTTCAAGAGCATGACAAATGATGTAGTCCATGAATGAATAAACTGAATCCTCAGAGATGGATCAGTAGCCTTCCTCAAGGGCAGACAATTCTGCTTTCTGCATTGAATGTCAATCCTAATGCAGTAAAGTCCAGTGCAGAGATGCAACAGAATTACTGTCCACAAACAAAATGGTTTGGAAGAAGCCAAAGCTGCAGATGGCCACAATCAGCCCCCTCTGTGAATGTGTAGAATGTCATAATTTATTTTTCATTGGCCACAGTATGGGCACTACTAGAGTAAAGGTTACACTGTCACCACCAAAGCCCTTTTTGTTGTTGTGAACAATATTTCTTGAAAACATGTTGGGAGCATTTAACCCCAGTGTTTTTTGTGTGTGGTCTGGTTTGTTTGTTTTTGTTTGGTTGGCTTTGGTCTTGGTCTTGAAACTTAGAGCCCTTTTCTCTTAACCAACTTCTTCATGAGCACAGGGCACCTTTGAACATAAAACTGAGATGGTTTGAGTAAGGAGGGGAGATTATTCCCAAGGCAACACACTTTAAAGTTTATACTTGATAAAAGTGTTTAAAGAAAAATGGATAGCATAAAGAAATCAACATGAGTGGCATGTCTCCTCTGAGGCAGTACTTTTGTCATTTCATTTCCATTCTTTGTGCAGCTTGTTTATATCAGAACAAAGAATTTGGTAGACTTGGTGCATATTATGTTGTAGTTCTTCTAACTGACTTTCTATTCTGTAACCTAAGAATTAGGAGAAACTACCCTTCTCTGGCAAAGAAAAAAAAAGGATCACATATACCACACTTTGGTTTGCAGGACACTACCAAACTGAAAATTAGGTGCATGAGAAGCTCCCTTCCTCCAGTTCAGATGGTTTCTTCCTGTAGCACAGCCTCCTCTATTCTGAGTGGCAGTGGCTCTCCAGAGAGTATTCCCATCACTTCCTACCTTATCATTTTAACTAGAAATGCCAGGGCCCAAAACTTCTACATAACAACTAAGCCACATCTTATACATAAGATATTCTTGGTCTGTGTAAACCAGTAGTGTCTTTTCTGATTGGCAATGGCTCTCCCAAGTCTAAGGAAGAGCTCTTTCAAAGGCCTGCTGCCTAGGACCCAATAACCTAGTAGAAAGTACAGAATGAACCTCATGTATGCAAGACTGTACTGCTAAGCAATGGCTGTTTAGTTGATGTAATATTGTGAATATTGATTTTGCTTGATAAGGAGTTCAGTGAAATGTGAAAACTTGGTCTGTATTGACCCTTTAAAAGAGATGATTTGTCTCGATGCAAAAATACAAGGCATGTTCAGATGCTGGCATCCTAGTCTGCATAATGGAGGAAATACTGAGGTGATGTTATGGTAAACAGTGAGACATGGAAAGCCAATCTAGTAGGATATGAGGTTATATTTAATTAGTCTGCAGTCACTTACATATGATAATCTATACATGTGTCACTCTAGGACATGACCAAGCTTCAAAATCAATCATCTTTGTAAACAGGGTTGGGTGTTACTTCTCAATGGCTCCCACACATCTAGTTCTGTGGAAAAAAACAAGTGGGCTGAGGTTGTCACATAGCTGGGGATGAGCTGCCAAACCATTAAGGATCAGGTGCTCCCTGCTTTCACAAGTGGATGAAGAGGGTAGAGGCAGAGGCCTGAGTGAGCCAGTTAATCTTAGTGGGACTAAGTCGTCTTGTCTGAACTCTGGCCTTCAGAACGGATCTGTGGCTGAGGCCTGGGTGAGCTTTGAGACAGTCTATCAAGTTTAAGATAAGGTATACCCCCTTTTCAGAGAACCAGATGTTGGCCACTGTCTGAAATAAGATAAAGGCCTAAACTAGATATTGCAGTAATCTGTCATAGCATTTCTTCCTATGAAGTTTTATTTTGTTTGATGGTTTTTAACTGCTGTAAATGGTTCAGAAAGCAATATGGCTATTATTACTGTCTATAAAAGCTTGAAATAGATAAATAAGTTGCAAAATTATTGTAGTGTCTGAAATTTGTTAGGTTTTGGAGAGTATTGCACTGATTTGTTTGTTTGAAACATTTATTTAGTGTTCAGTTAAGCACAATGTGCTGAGAATGGTGAACATAATATACTTCAAAATATCAAGTAACAGACAATTAAAAGCAAACTCACCTGTCACAGAACATCCAAATGGCAATAAAATTCAACAGGCATGTCATCACACAAACAAGACAATCCATGATAACAACTATTCCACATGTAGCAAAACAGTTTAAATGCCAATATAAACCAAATAGCATGATCAACAGTTAAATTGTGAGAAATAAATATGATTTGACCTGACACCAAAACATATATAATGTCAGCGCCAGGCCTGTTTCCCTGGGAAGCTGATACTACAGATGGAAGGCCTTTCCCATGTTTTAAATACATGACAATGCTTCCTTCTCTGTCTAAATTTATTACAGCTATTTTACTTAAACCTGCTTTTATATAGTTGGGAAAATACTGATATTTTGTGTCTTCTTTGTATTTAGCAGAGACAATTGAGTGTGATGAGAAACTGGACATTTCTCTCCTACCAACAGGTAAAAATCTTTTGGTTAATAAAAGTACAATGGCTTTTCTCTACTGCAAGTCTCATTGGAGTTGGAGTGACCATCTATACTACCTTTATACAATACCAGTTAGCCAAATGTTCAATTCCCATCATCTTTAGAATCTTTCCTTAGCTTGGCTGCTATATCGCTTTAACTGCTTGCAGCATCCAGAGCCTGAGATATAAAAGTTGCACACACAAGGAGACTCTGCACCAACATCTCTGAGAATTTGTGGGCACATTGTAGGAGTTGGCAACTTCCACATTGCCCCCACAATGGGGGGCTGCACCCCACCTCTGCTGAATTTGCTACTTCAGAAATTTCCACTACAGCGGCAAAACCCACAAGGTATATGGGGAGCACGTGCCTAGTTTCCAGACAGAATTGTGCTTCCACAAGCAAACAAGGCTTATCCTCCCTGCATACTTGTGTTTTCTTGCAAAATTGCTGTGATGCTGTTTTCTACCATCATCATGGCCAGTGCAGTGTCTGCAGAGAAACATGGTGTGCAGGTAACAAAATGGCCAGGGGATGTCTGCAGGCCATGTGTTGCCCACCACTGGCGCATCAGATCAGATCATGATTCTCTGAATCAAAGTTACCGAAGCATAGTTATTTGTGTTATCTGAATAATGAAGAGTTATCTGCTACTGTGTGGTTAGCTGAATGATGGGATGCCCTGATTCTGTTGGAGTGCAAATAAAGTGTGAAAATGTGGTGCTGGGCTCTCTGAAATCCTCAGCTTCCACTTTACTGAATAACAAATACAGGCTCAGGTTTCTAGACCTTTAAAAATAAGCCTGCAAATGTACAACTGAATGCCTGCTGAAAACTCAGAAGTCAAAAAGGTGAGTATTTAAAAGGATTTTTTATGGTGCAGGACAGTATCATATCAATGTGTCTTCTACAATAAGCAGTCCCTGTATAAATTATGCAAATTTGTTTATTTTTGCATAATTTATATAGGCTACAGAATCCAGCTTTTAACAGTTCAGAATCTGAATTGCCCTGGAGCAGAACATATTGTTTTCAGCTTTTCATTTAGCCTTTTTAGACAACCCTTTCATTGCTTTTATACACATGTACACACAGACGCACACAGTTACCGCACTAGCAACTGGTACAGAAGCACCATGCAAAAACATGCAATAAAGTTCTTTTCATTGTTAGTCTTTCCTTCTTTCTTACTTTCTCTCTATGCCACCCCATAGCCAAAGTTCTCATAGCATAGCAGTTTACAGCAATGTATAAAACAAAACATTACAAATACCATAAAAACGTTAAAATGAGTTTAAAACTGATTTAAAATAGCTTTAAAAATACACTAAAAAACCTGTTCATTTTCCGTTCTGTAAATGAGTGTTAGAAGAGAAAAGAGTGGATTCAAAACAGGTTTGTTTTTCTAAACTTAAACCCCACTTTTTACTTGGACAAGTTGGTTTTCTTTGGGTCTCTCCACTTTGCCCCTTGCAGAACATGTACTTCATGGCAAGCCCCCCATCCCAACTATTTTGTGAGAATACCCACCACACGCAAAATTTCAAATCTATCCACCATCCTAAAAAGTTTGCTCCTAATTCTATACAAACATATTGGGCCACCACCCCTGACAAGTTTAATAAATGTGGACCATACTTCTTTAATTCTTTGTCACCTTCCTTTCTTCAGCTAACCAAATAACCTGGACTCCTTGTGTGCATGTACATGCATGTTCATATGTTATGTGTGTTAGTCATGTTATTCATGTCCTCTCTGTAAGCTTACAAGGACACCTGGCCAGGGGCTGTTGCAACCAAAATGCTGAGCCAAATAAGCTGTGTCTGCTCTTCCGATTTGAATCATCGTATTTGTTCAATGTAGAGAACAGTTGCTATAAAGTATGTAGGTAAAATGTGTAGTGTAGCGTCCGTCCATACTTGCCCTCCCGCCCTCTAAGATCGGGAGCAGCGGCCCTTCTCCGGGAACCCTCCGTGAAGGAAATTAGGTGAGTACCCGGAGAAGGACCTTCTCTGCGGTGGTGCCCCATCTGTGGAATGCGCTCCCCAGAGAGGTCTGCCTAGCGCCGTCATTATTTGCTTTTCGGCGCCAGGCCAAGACCTTTTTATTTAAATGTTATTTTAATTGATTGTTAAATTATTTATTGCTTTTATCTAAGTCCGGGATGTTTCCAGTTCTGTATATTTTGTATATTGTTATTTATTTGTTGGAAGCCGCCCTGAGGCTTATGTGAATGGGGCAGCATACAAGCACTCCAAATAGATAGATAGACAGACAGACAGACAGACAATAGTAGTTAGAGTATTGGACTTCTAGCGGCCCAGGTTCTAATCCCTACTTTGCCATGAAATTCACTGGGTCACTTTGGACCAATCATAGACTCTTAGCCTAACCTATCTCAAAGAGTTGCTGTGAAGATAAAATGAAGGAGGAGAATCATGTATAATACTTTGGGTTCTTTGAAGAAGAAACAAGATATAAATGTAGATGCAAAAAGGAAGTGAAAAATGACTGATGTTAAAAGCAGATTTTATTTTGCTTGTTTTCTATGAACATAATTTTTGCTTTGCTTTGGAACATCTTCCAGCAATTTGCACAAAAAAATAATATATTGGTTTTACCAGCCTTAGTTGATGTGGAATTTTCTCTACCAGTGTTCTTTGAGATCTTTGGACCTTTTCATATACTTCCAGCAGAATCATGTAGTAAACCTTTCCTGGCTGAAGGTAGGGTGGAGTGTGTTACAGGTTAGAATGCCCCCCCCCCCCCGCAGTGTGGTTCATACAAAACCCAAGTGCTGTGGATCAGAGCTCTGATTTCTGCTCCTGCTCCCTTGTACAAAAAGAACCCCACTGGCTGATCTCTGACTTCATAAAAGCCACGTCCGAGAGCAGGAAAAGGGTTAGGGAGGAGGAGGAGGCTGGAACAGGCAAGAGAAGAGGTATCCTGACAACAATCCATCCTCCTTCCCTTCCACTCTGAAGCACCCCAGCTAGATGGCTGAAAATGGCCATCTGGCAGAAATGCAGAGCAGAAGTCTCAGCTTGATTCTGCCACTCCTCCCACGCTGCATAGGGTGCCTGTAATCTTCCAGATTCAAAAGCTTCTGGGCATTTGATTGGATTGCACCCTTAGTAATGTTATTTAGTATTTTAACCAGTATCTACTTTCTCTATTCCGGTTTTATTGCACTGCTTCTTTTTATATTACCAAAGATCATGAGTGGGATGCAAGGAGATGTTTGCATTCATCTCCTTCTGGCAAGATGTGCACAAGGAAACAGATTCTGTTTTGATAGGAATAAATGTACCCTCGCATAGTGCCTTTGAATAAGAGAAACAATGTATTAAAGGTGGCCTGTAGAATATTTTTCGTTTGTCACCCTTAAAAGAATCTCGTGTGTGAGATTCTATAGGCAACTGCTTATGCATTTGTCAGTGGGGGGCAATAACTTTCAGATGATAGATTGTAAATAACAGTATACACCAATGACAACCATTTTAGAGGTGGTAATCAAAATAGCTTGTAATATGGTAGAAACATAAAAGCAGGTGTCTTCTGTCTAGAACCCCAGGGGACTGAGCATACAACTTTGTTTTGCTAAGCCTAATGTGGATATATTGGTTTCATAGCTGGTTTTATATCACAGAAAAACAGGTGAAAAGTTCAAGTTCAAGGCATTGTGAAGTTAAAGCTTACACTTCCCTATATATTTGAGACCTTCTCATATATTTGAAACTTTAAAATGTTGTTAGAATGCTTCTGAATGCTACAATTTACCAATAGTCAATTTTTGCAGCATGTTAGTAACGCTGCAAACTTTCAGTGCAATAAAGCTGACCACAGGCCTTCATCCAGGAAGGATTCACATGAACCTAGAGGTACTTTCACGTATTTTTCCCCATCATAGTTTTATTGGTTCAAAATGTTTAGCATAGATCATCATGAAAGGCGGAAAGGAAAGGAAGGGGCTGAGCAGCAAATGTGAGTTCTGGTGTATCTGCAGAGCTGCTTACTTGTCCGGATTGTCATCATGGGGTCTTCTCCTGCTTATATTAAACACTTTTTCCTCTTGCACCAAGCCTGCACCTATAGAAAGTGTGCATGACAAACCAAGTCAATATTTTCAATATTTCCTTTCCAGAAATCAGGTCTCAAAAATCAGTTTTTAATAATATGCAGTGTCCACACCACAAAATTAATCTTTTCTAAGTGATCCACACCTGATCTTCTGATCACCCATTCCGTTCTGGCCTTAACATTCTCACAGGGCTGTCCTCATTGAACAGTCAAAGCTTCTGTATAAAAGATATAGGAAGTTTTAAAAATTCTGACAGAATAATTTCAGATATTTGGTAGAAAGCCCTTGCAGGATTAAAACTCACCCATGTGTACAACTTCTTTAGATGTTTCCATTGCTGCTGTTAATATCCACCTTGGCATATGTTTTCCATTATACCAAAACTCACCATACAAGTTAAGAATTTTCTCTATAGCGTAGTACCTTACTTAAGGAATTTCTATTGGTAATATATTATATAACTGATAATGTTTAAAACCTTTAGGTTAATTTTAATAGATATGTATCATTTTGATCTATCATGATTCCTCAAAATCCTAATTTTAAGTTCTGACTCTTCTTTTTCAGGTAACCTCTTTGAAACCACACATTCTGCACCAGTGTTTCACTAGCAGATCCAGACATCTTCACATTTGAGTGGGGTACCAGCAACATTTCCAGACTTCTTCAATATCTGAGTTCTACTCTGGTCTGGCCTCAGCCTAAGGTTTTTTTTTTATATATACTTTTGTAACAAAGCATAACAGAGCCACTAAATTATTTGTTTCCTTTATTTTGATCAAAATAGGCTTGTTAGCAGCAAGGATGTAGTGCAGTTAGTTGGTAACCACTGTGATAGAACAAATTTTGCATCTATAATTGCATTTCTCCACATACATATATGCATGCCAGCTATTCCATTTTCTGTTAAACAGAGAAAAATAAACATAAAAACCTCTCTTCCTCTCAGGAGCAAGTACTGAAAAGAGCCCCTTTTAGTGACTTTTTGTGCAGAAGTCACAGACCCCCAAAGCTGCTAAGTTAAATGAATCATTAATACTTATCTGCTCTGAAGTCATACACACTCTCCCTAACCCCCAGCCTTTGTAAAGATGGCAAATTGCCAAATAACCTTTTCAGAATAAGATACATTGTCAGTATATTTGACTGTAAGAACCCCACTAAATATATATTGCCTGGTCCAAAACACATATTGGTGAATGTGAAATTAATTGTTCTTGATACTGAAATTCCTCAGATGTTTTATTTATTTATTTTGCAGATTCCTCACCACTCCTGACTTTAAAGTCTGGCAGTTAAGTCTTATGGTTCCCTCAAAAGTTATTTTAAGTATTAGTACTGCCAGTAAATCTTGAAAGCACTTTTATATACACAGCTTTTCTGCAATATTTGCATGAGTTGTAGGGAATATGCCATTCCAGTTTGAGTGGTGGCAGTTAGTTTTCACATATGCACATGTCTTCCTCTCATACCTGATTTCTCCACTCAAAGTGGACAAAAATTAGCCTTGAGAGCAGCATGTCTAGCATGCAGTTTCACCACAGGGAACAGAAAGTTATCACACTTTCTCCCAAGGTTGTTTCCCAAATTTGTGCAATGAAGGATAGTTCTACAGTGCAAGGTGAGGGGTACATAAAATCTACCCCACTGAGTATACAACACATCATGGGAGCTGGATGTGCTATTCATATGTAGACTTGATTTTCATTATCGCCTTCCCTTTAATAAGGGGCAAAAAATGTGCAAATTCAGACCTTTGTGTGGAGTGCAGATGTTCACTTAGTGTGGAGGGGAGAAGCTCATAAATCTCTTCACTCTCCACTGAATTTACAGGCCTCAGTTGTATCTGTGTGGGTACACGTGTGCTCATGCCTGCCTACGCACCCATATCCTTTCCCATCCCCACTTTTTCTTCTGTGAGTAGCAACAAGCCAAGAAGGATGCAAGTTGCTAACTATTCCAGAAGATACAAATTAACACCCCTGCACACTTTCTCCCAAATTGGAGAATTTCCAAAATGTATCAGTTGTTTGAAAGTACAATTAATGGCTAACATGTGTCTCAGCCAAGCTCCATACTAATTCTTCTATAAGGTATCTTAGCATTTCTTTTTGCCCTAGTTTAGGGCTGGTGCTAAGGTCCAAGATACAAAATACAGAATTAACTCTGCACCTTCCTGCAGAATGAAAAGAAAAACTTTTATAAAAATATCACTTGTGTATTAACTAATTTCCACATTTTAATGAAATTCTTTCCAAAGTATATACATTTCTCACTCTTATGTTTTGATGGTCTTATCATTTAAGGTTGAAACAAATTTAAGTGTCCTTCCTCACTCCACAAAACGTTGGTTTACTCCAAGCTTCTGCTTTCAAAATGCAAGTTTGCCATTGGTATTCATAGATCTGAACACTGACGCTTAACATATTAGCCACCAAATTACCACAGATTCTGTATGAAGATATGAATTAGTATTCTTGCTACCTTGAGAACCAGACCTCTCTCCTAGTCTTTGTGTGGAATGTGAAGCTATCATGGCCATGGTTCTGATAAAGACCTAATAAACCCTAATACGTGAGAATTTCATTGACAGTCATCAAACAAACCAATGGACTGTGTTCTAAATACTTTTCACCTATTGAGTTTGTTAAAATTGGGCTAAATAACAACTTCTCCTGCAGTTCAATAAATCTTTTAAGGAATGTTAATGTGATCAATTTATTATTGAAATGTGGCTGTGATCTCTTGATGAAAGATAAAACTGACTAGTGCTGCATTCATTTAAAAGTGCATTTTTTGCTTGAAGACTGATGGGACTGCTCTTTCACCAGTGGAAATCCTCAATTTCTCCCATAACTCTACAGATAAGGCATTCATATTTTAACAGTTAACCTACAATCAACATTATTTTCATGAATCTTAAAAACAATTGTAATTGTGTCTACTTAACTGTGACTACTGTTCAAAATTTTACTCAGAAGTCTTTTTATAGGTTTTATTAGGAAAATCATTCCATATTTAGGTAAAAAGTTGTCTCAATCTTATGTATATAAGTTTTATTAATATGTACATATTTAGCTATTTTTTAAATTGCTATGTTCTTAATAAAACCAACAAGGGACTAGTTGTGAAATGGTGCATACGATTGTGTTGTGTTATCAATCTCTGGGAATCCTTCTTTGTCAAGTTCAGAAAAAAACACAATAAATTACTTTAATTCAACAGGCATCTGTGGTGTGTGTGCTTATAAGACCTAATTCAGAAAATATTAGATTATAAGTGGTTTTGTCTGAACAGCCTGAGCCATATTTACATAATCAGAAACTGGAAGTAGTATAATCATATACTTGCCACCACCAAGCAACGATTATGCAGTTTGCCTTTTGTGGTAAGCAGTGAAGCAACAGCCCATCTTCCATAAGAGTACTAGAGGAAATTGAAGTCAATAAAGCAGCCGTGTAAAATTTAGCTGTGACACAGTCACAACCGAAGCCTATAACAAAGCCCGGAATACTGACCAGAGAGATGCCTGCAAGAGATTCAGCCTAAGCACCAACTCCACTCTGGTAAAAGAAGGAAATGACAAAGAGACAAGTCAAGGAATGCAGACACCCAGTTGTTAGTTGGGGCCCAGAAGTCTGAAAATATAACTGATTTTGTGCCAGCTGCACTGGCTGCCAATAAGTTTCAGGATCCAACTCCCAAGTGCTGGTTATAACCTTTAAAGCCCTAAACAGCATGGGACCATGTTATCTGTAGGACCTGGGCCTGCTTTTCCCAGTGCAGCATTCCAAGCTAGAGAGTTCATACTCTGAATCTGAACTTGAAGAAGAGGTGAGGTCACAAAGGGAGACAAAAATGCCCAGGTTAACAAACTGCAAGATAAGCCTAAAAGGTGGTGAAAACCAGACTGCCTCTGGTCCAGGGGCAGGGGGAGCACTATAACACAGGGAGGGCCAGAGTGGGAGGGGTGTGAATTTGTTTGGAGGGGAATCCTGTCTGGAATGCAACTGACATGGGCAAGAACTAATTAGAGGGATCATTAACTTGATAGATGCTTCTAGTTAATTACTTTTATATTACCCTGTAGTCCAAAGATAGCCCCAGTTGGCCTGCCCCAGGGCTGCAGTCTGAAGCATAACAAGTTTTCTCTCTGGCATGAAATGATTTGAAAATCTTATATATAGAATATGTTATGTAGGACTTTTTTAAGGAAGTGTGATGGGAGCTGTCCAATGTGGTGAAGAAAGGTAGCAAATGAGAAGAGTGGACAAGATCATCTCTCCTTGGAAAAAAATTTTGCCTATACAGTACCTGGAAATAGTATCCAACCTTTGACTTTTCCACATTTTGCTGTGTTACTAGCTGGAATTGAAATGAATCTAATTTAATTGGCACTGCTACCACTTGATGCATGCAAGATAGTCACAGGCATAGTTGACTTACCAACCAAAGCTGCCAGTGGGCACTCTGGGCCACTGAGCTCACCTGGGCCTCCGTTGACAAAGATGGATCCCAAATTGCCTCCAAACTATGCATTTTCTCCTTTGAGGGGAATGCAACCCCATCCAGAGCAGGCAAACAGTCCAGTTCCCACATCTGGGAGCTACCAGTCCATAGAGTAACTGTCGTAGTAGGATTCAGTTTCAGTTTTTTATCTGTCATCCAAGCCAAAACTGTACCCAGGCTCCAGTTCAGAATGTCCCTCTTCCAATCAGAGAAATTGTGCTGGTAGTCATCAGTGTACTGCTGACCCCTTGCCTCAGTCTTCTAATGACTGTTCCCAACAGAGGATGTGAACTATTTCCAGTTTAAAAAACCTATACATGCCCCATTCATAGATTGCTAGCATGATGTCTGAACCTAGACAGTATAGGTAGTTTATGAGTTAAACAGTGGTTTACTCTGGGTTGCTTAATCCATAAACAATCCAGATCATCCTGGTTTAGAAGACATGCTAACAAGGTATGTTCATAAGTTGTTTATTCAAATAGGAAACAGTTTGTGCACTTCACCCGTCCTGCAATGATATCTATGATTTGCTGCCATGATGTGTAAACCAGGTCTGTGTAACATACCATTACACTAAACCTTGGCTTGCTTAATTTGAAGTTTGTTGCCTGCAGAGAGTGTGACTGGCAGACAATCATATTGTGGTTTGTTCACGTGTTTGTTTTTTGTTTTGACCATTCTTTCAAAGTAGCCTGGTAAAACAACCCATGTTCATGGGTTAAACAACCCAGAATTCATAATTTAACAACAAACCATGCAATCTGATTCTAGGTTTTTTGCAGTTAATGAACTATGGTTTGTTCATATGGCTGACTTCATACATCAGGATAACCCTATTTTATAACTCTTCATTATGTATGAACCAGGTTTCAGGTTAAATGTGAAACTGTTACATAATAGCCATCCAGTGAAACTTTATTTTTTTTAAACCACAAGGACAGTCCAACTTTCTCATACCCCAGCCGCATGAGGACTTCGACACAGAACCTGGGGGCCACACAATGAATTATACTTTCATATCAAAATTAAAGTGTTCACAATATATTTAATGTCATATGCACAATTAATATGTTTAATTGACCATTAAATGAGGAAGATATGTAATCTCAATGCTAACCCTAATTGAATTTAAAAGGCTTTGTAGGCATTATAGGCCTGTGATCTTTGCAGAGATCACAGGCAGCTGCTTCTCCAACCGCAGCCCGAGCACAATGACTGCCTCTCTGGGGTGGCCCATTCCTTTCTTTCCTGTTACATCCACCCAGAACCCTCCAATGTGACCCGACCACCCCCGCCCCTGCCTTCCTTCTTGGAATTGGTGCACTGAAGCTCTTGTCCCTGAGCCAAAAAACTTCCCAGCATGCCCCACTTGCTCCTGCTGACTAAAGGTACACAGGAACTGAGGACCTTTGCATCCATCAGCTGGGGTGTCAGAGCATGGTTGTGTGAACTCTCGCGAGTGAGCTCTCTTTCACCACAATCATGCCCATGCCATAGCTAGGATTCAGACTGGAAGGAACAGGGGAGCTTCAAGTAGCAAGGGGTCACAGAACAAGGCTTTGGGACCTCATGCAGCCTGTGGGTCATGTGTTGGGCCACCCTGACATAGAATAACCACATGAAATTCATGTTTGCTCAACCTATGCTCTTTCAAATATGGATACACTGGTGAATTGGCTTGATATTATATGGATGCAGAACTTTCCAGTTTGGAGGGAGTTCATGTTAAAGGAAAGTGGTGTCTGGGAAGTAGCATCTGCTTGTGTACTGCTAAGATGGCCATCTGTTATAACACTCTGTCTTCTGGGACCAGCAGTATATCCTATTCTTCATACCTGGCTGGGAAGTTGGAGAAGATTCTTAGAAACACATTAGAACAGCCATCGGAAATTATTTGTAGGGAAAACGTCTGTCTGCAGCAGAACAGGAAACAGATAACCTTTCTATAACAAGAAAGGAAATAGGAACCTGCGCTATCCATTAATTATACCATGGCAAGAAGAAATTGAAATAGTTGGTGCATTAGGAGGAAGTCCTAGTCATGTGTTTGAGATATCGGAAGCACTGCACAAGACCAAAATGAGAATGTGTGAGAGACGCAAATCAGGCATCACTTAAAGCTGTCGAAAGGGGATAATTCAGTAGCTGTTGTAGGCCTTTGCCATCACCAATTATTGAGGAGATTGAATATTTCACTATGTAAATTCCATGCATAACAGAACTAGCATATTGGGGAAAAGGAATTTCCCCCTGCTGATTTGTTTAATGTGTAGGATGTGTTTTATATTGAGGGAGCATTCAAATGTTTTCTCTCCAGTAAAATGTTTGCAATGGTATAATTCAGCAACAAATACATCATGCAAGGTGGTGCAGCTAGGTAAGTTTATACCCTGGTGTTTGTGGTCTTATGGGAAAGGGCTCTTCAGGCAGTCATGTTAAATACATAGTCAACATTTCTCTTTCTTCTCCTTCACTGCTGTTCCAGAGGCAACATAAGCAGAAGTGGTTCCTGTGCCACTGCAGGTCCCTCAGGATCAACTGTGCAATTTGGAGTGGAGAAACAGTAAATTAAGGGTAAAGTTTGCACAACTCTGCACCCTTAAATCTCCCAGCTGGGGCTGCTTGTCTCGAGCAGTGTTGGATTGTTTACCTCTGTATGGATATGATATGTAGTTCTTTGCTGAAAAGGGGGCTAGAGATGCTTAAAAAGTGAAGGAAGAACAGTATTTTCCAGTATGAGTTGCTTCTAATGCTGCAAATAAGTAGTAAAGCAGTGGGCAAAAAAGAGCGCAATGCTAGAGCTGTTTACTGAAATGCAGCAGCCGATGATCAGGTCTATGGTGGCAGGATCAAGAGGGATTATGGACCAGTTTGGCAGGTAACAAGCTTTGGATATTGTCATCTGTGTATTGCCTGACAAACCTTTTCCTAGTATCTCATAATGCTTCCTAAGTGATGCTTAATGCATTGTAGCAGGCCATTATGTCATCCCCAAGGATTCTTCCCATTGTCTTGTTGTCATAATAATTGTTTTGAGTGTTTGCATGTATCCTGCCACCATTTGCACGATAGGCATAAATGATGGAATAATACTGTTCTGTTCATTTGGGAATGGTCCCCACATAGCCCACCAATCCTTTTTGATCGAATGCATTCTAAGGGCCATTCAGGAATCAGTCTGTTTCTTTTCTACAGCTGTTTAAAGAAACAGACCTATTCCAAAGGCTGACTCATTCATTTTGGTTCATCTTCAAGCAAAATAACAGGAAAAATAAGAAATGTAAGCTACTTCTCCTATCAAAATAAAAATTCAGGGGATTTTTACCTGTCTTCTTTTGATTCTGTTGTTCCCTTTTGTATGGTCTCTTTGTATTCATTGGCTCAGTCTGATATCTTAGGGATGGTTTCATCCTGAGAAGTATCTCCAAACTCCAGGCACCTAAATCCAGAAGCCTCGAGAGAGTTCTGGGATGCATTACCTTTAGAACAAGAGTGAAGAACTACGATCAGCCCAAGAGCCACATAGCCAGGGACTGTTTTCTCGTAGTAGATGTGCCAAAAGAAGGTATAGCCTAAAATACAAAAGATATCAACATATTGTAAAAGAAACATCTTATCACTTGTAATTAAACCTTCAGACAGATCTCTTTCTTCTCATTTCCTTGGCCTCTATCCTCCTCCTCACTTTCTGCTCCCCTTTAGTTGAAGTG